GCAATGCACCCGCTGTTTTGTTTGGAAAATTCACCAAATTCGGATAGAACAATCAAATACCTTAACATTGTTTGATTTTTCAATATGGTTGTTAAGTGTTATTGAAGTTTTTTCACCACTGTTATCTGTTATTCAGTTAAAGTTTGTGATAACTGTTATCTGCATTTTATATTTGTTGTTAACTGTTTTTTGCCAAAATCGAGGTGTTGTTAACATGTAAACGGACCCCCTATTGCCCCTCCCCCACATTGTTAATTTGACGAGATCAAAAAGATTTTCATTTTCTCAATCTGAAGTTATTACAAAGTAGATATGGTAGTATTGGATTATTAAAAGTAAAACTTCACCTTGAATTCTCAAAGCCAAGACTTACAATGCACAAGGATAAACATCAATTTATCTTATCATAAAAACGTGCTTTTGTAGAGAACTGTAGATAATGCCTTTACATATCAACTGAACTACCGGTTAACCGATTATTCGGTCGAAAGATTATCCGAGTAACCGGTTAGACAAAACTTTTCAATTTGGCAACACTAGTTAACACCTGTTCTATGGTATCATAAGTGTGTTAACAGGGGATGTCTTGTGTTATCACTGATAAGTTCGCTAAAATCTGTTGAAGTTGTATCAGAGATGTGTAAGCAGGGGTGTCATGTAATATCACTGAGGTGAAGTTTGGCTAAAGTCTGTTCCGTGGTATCAAAGTTGTGTAACCAGGTGATGTCTTGTAACAGGACTGAGTTGAAGTTTAAATGAAATCTGTTCAGTGGAATCAGATGTGTGACACCAGGGGGTGTCCTGTAATATCACTGAGGTATACAGTTTGGATAAAATCTGTTCAGGTGTATCGGAGATGTGCAAGCAGGGTTGTCTTGTTACAGCACTGAGTTGAAGTTGAAATGTTCAGTGGTATCAGATGTAACAGGGGACGTCTTGTCTTGTAATATTGCCGAGGTAAAATTGTGTAAAATCTGTTCAGTTGTAACAGAGATGTGTAAGCAGGGATTGTCTTGTTACTCCACTGAGAGGATTATTTTGTAATATCACTTAGGTGAAGTTTGGTAAAAACCTGTTCTGTGGTATCATAAGTGTGTAAACAGGGGATGTCTTGTATTATCACTGAGAAGTTTGGCTAAAATCTGTTTAGTTGTATCAGAGATGTGTAAGCAGGGAATGTCCTGTAATATCACTGAGGTGAAGTTTGGCTAAAATCTGTTCAATGGTATCAGAGGTGTGTATCCAGGGGAGGTCTTGTAATATTACTGAGGTATAAAGTTTGGCTAAAATCTGTTCAGTTGTATCAGAGATGTGTAAGCAGGGATTATCTTGTAACAGCACTGAGTTGAAGTTTGTACGAAATCTGTTCAGTGGTATCAGACGTGTGTAAGCAGGAAATGTCTTGTAATATTACTGAGGTAAAGTTTTGATAAAATCTATTCAGTTGTATCAGAGATGTCTAAGCAGGGATGGTCTTGTAACAGCACTGAGTTGAAGTTTGAATGAAATCTGTTCAAGGGTATCAGAAGTGTGACAGCACAGGATGTCTTGTAATATTACCAAGATAAAATTTTGATAAAATATATTCAGTTGTATCAGAGATGTGTAAGCAGGGAATGTCTTGTAATATCACCAAGATGCAGTTTGGTTAAAATCTGTTCCGTGGTATCATGGGTGTGAACGCAGGGGATGTCTTGTAATATAAGCGATATAATGTTTGTCTACAATCTGTTCAGTGGTGTCAGAGGTGTAAATGCAGGGATTGTCATGTTTCGGCACTGAGGTAGAGTTTGGTTAAAATCTCTTCTTTTGTTTCAGAAGTGTGAAAGCATGTATTGTCGTGTAATATCACGGAAGTGGTTTGACTTACGAAAATTCTGAGGTATCACAAGCGCGTAAGCAAGGATTGTTTTGTAATATCACTTGGGTGAAGTTTGGTTAAAATCTGTTCTGTAGTATCCTAGGTATGTAAACAGGGAATGTCTTGTATTATCACTTAGAAGTTTGGATAAAATATGTCAAGTTGTATCAGAGATGTGTAAGCAGGTGGTGTCCTGTTATATAACTAAGAAAATAAAGTCTGGCAAAAAAATGTTCAGTTGTATCAGAGATGTGTAAGTAGGGATTTTCCTGTAACACCACTGAGTTGAAGTTTGAATGAAATCTGTTCCGTGGTATCAGAGATGTGTAAGCAGGGATTGTCTTGTAACAGCACCGAGTTGAAGTTTGAATGAAATCTGTTCAGTGGTATCAGAAGTGTAACAGCACTGGGTTGAAGTTTGAATGCAATCTGTTCCGTGGTATCAGAGATGTGTAAGCAGGGATTGTCTTGTAACAACACTGAGTTGAAGTTTGGATAAAATCTGTTCAGTTGTATCACAAATGTGTTAGCAGGGAATGTCTTGTAATATCACCGAAGTGAAGTTTGGTTTAAATCTGTTCCGTGGTATCATGGACGTGAAAGCAGGGGATGTCTTGTATATAAGTGATGTAAAGTTTGTCAACAATCTGTTCAGTGGTATCAGAAGTGTGAAAGCAGGGATTTTCTTGTTTCAGCACTGAGGTAAAGTTTGGTTAAAATCAGTTCTGTTGTTTCAGAAGTGTGTAAGCAAGGATTGTTTTGTAATATCACCTGGGTTATTTGGTTAAAATCTGGTCTGTGGTATCCTAGGTATGTAAACAGGGGATGTCTTGTATTATCACTGAGAAGTTTGGCTAAAATATGTTAAGTTGTATCAGAGATGTGTAAGCAGGGATTTTCCTGTAACAGCACTGATTAGAAGTTTGAATGAAATCTGTTCCGCTGTATCAGAGATGTGTAAGCAGGGATTGTCTTGTAACAGCACTGAGTTGAAGTTTGAATGAGATCTGTTCAGGGGTATCAGAAGTGTGACAGCACGGGATGTCTTGTAATATTATTGAGGTAAAGTTTGGATAAAATCTGTTCAGTTGTATCAGACATGTGTAAGCAGGGAATGTCTTGTAATATCACTGAAGTGAAGTTTGGTTAAAATCTGTTCCGTGGTATCATGGGCGTGAAAGCAGGGGATGTCTTGCAATATAAGTGATGTAAAGTTTGTCTGGTATCAGAAGTGTGAAAGCAGGGATTTTCTTGTTTCAGCATTGAGGTATCACAAGCGTGTAAGCAAGGATTGTTTTTGGCTAAAATCTGGTCAGTTGTATCAGAGATGTGTTAAAAGGGTTTGTTTTGTCACTCTACTGAGGTGAAGTTTTGATGAAATCTGTTTGGTTGTATCAGAAGTGTGTAAGGTAGGATTGTCTTACCGAGTTGCGTCGGAGAGAAATCAACCCTATGCAAGTGCACCTATTTATGTACATATTTCGGGTTTACAAATCTCTATGCAGTTTAGCTTAAATGTGTTCAGTTGTATCAGAAATGTGTTAGTGTAAATGCTCTTTTGTTCCGACGTTGGAAAGTTCCGGGCGGAAAAAACTAACTAGCCGAAAAGTTCCGGAGGAACTTATTAACTAGTTACTTTGTTCTTCCTCTGGTTTAAAAGTTCCACCGGAACAAAGTGACTAGTTGAAAAGTTCCAACGGAACATACCAACTAGTAAGAAAGTTCCTTTTTGCCAAATTAGTCAAAACCGGAACTAACAAACTAGCCCAAAAGTTCCAACGGAACTTATCAACCAGGCAGAAAGTTCCATTCGGAGAATTGATGCAAAGTAAACATATTATATTTGAACCTTTCAAAGGGAAACCAAGATACCGATTACAAAAGTCAAAAGGAACTTATCAACTAGCCACAAAGTTCCTCTTTGGCAAATAAGTCAAAACCGGAACTAACAAACTAGCCCAAAAGTTCCAACGGAACTTATCAACCAGTCACAAAGTTCCATTTGGAGAATTGATGCAAAGAACCACATGAGGAGGGGGTATTCTTCCCTCTCTTGAGGGTACTATGAATACTAAATTTGCATGATAATGCAACTTATTCCGTTTTATGTGAGCTATAAAATACAACTTAAATTTTGCATATTTGTCCCCAAAGAAACCCCTTTCAGTGCGTTGGGTATTCTTGTAAATTAATGATTTGCTCTTATATATACTGATACTCATTCTTCCCCCTCTTTTTACAAAAAGGACGAAATATGGTATATTCGGAACGATGTAACTAGTTGTTCTGTTCCGCCAGAACTATTCAACTAGCTACATTGTTCCGGAACTTTTCAACTAGCTACTTTTTTCCGGAACTTTTCGACTGCACTCGGAATAAAACACCTAGTTGGAAAGTTCCATCGGAACGAAATAACTAGTTGAAAAGTTCCGCCGGAACAAAGTAACTGACGGAACATAGTGGCTGTTACATTAGCAGGGTTTGGTCTTGAAATATCACTGAGGTGAAGTTTGGATCAAGTCTCTTCAGTGGTTTCAGAAGTGTGTAAGGAGGGATGGTTTTGTAATATCGCTGAGGTGAAGTTTGGCTTAAATGTATTCAGTTGTATCAGAAATATGTTAGCAGGGATGGGCTTGAAATATCACTGAGGTAATGTTTGGCTTAAATGCTGTAGTATCACAGGTAAGTAAGCAGGGTGGTCTTTTAATATCACTGAGGTGAAGTTTTGTCAAAATATGTTGAGTTGTATCAATTGTGTGTAGGCTGGGTGGTCTTTTAATATCACTGAGGTAAAGTTTGGCCAACATCTGTTCAGTGGCATCTGAGGTGTGGAAGCAGGTGTTGTCTTGTTATAGCACTAGCTGAAGTACAGTTTGGCAAAAATGTGTTTAAAAGTATCAAATGCAGATGCTTAGGCAGGGGTTGGCTTGTAATATCTCTATGGTAAAGGTTAGCTTAAATCTGCTCATTTGTATCATAGGTAAGTAAGTAGTTTTCTTGCTACATCACAGGGGTATATTTTTGCAAAAATCTGCACCAGAGGTATGTTATCAAAAGTTAATCATTAAGATGAACAATTACTAATTTTGATATTTGGAAATATTCTAACCTCTACAAGACGTAAATAAACCACTATGCATCATATTGTAACAATTTATTTGATCAAGATGTCAAAATATATCAAATCTTACACCAGTCTGTATTACTTATCTTAGTTACAAATTCGTTATTTAAAGACATCACTACAATGTTTGCTGCTTGACTGGTAAGAAACCTTTACTATGCATTTTCATATTTATCTCTCTTGTAGTTGAGACATATTTGGCCATTGTACATATGTATCAAGTCAAATCTATTAACTGACTGATGAGAATAATGAACTGGCTTTGTTCATCCTATTTTTATCTGACTGGAACAAAGTAAAACATACATACTCATCTCCCACCAAGTTTTTATGTATTATGTCAATTTTGAGAGAAAGTGATAAAATATTTCAGAAGTCTTAATGATAACCGTTGAATGCAAAATTATGGCTACATCTCACCTGGCCTATCTGCCAGGTGCTCTAGAATCACAGCACTGTTTTCTTTCAGTAAATTCATACAATAATACATAAATGAAGGATAGTAGCATAACAAAATCATAATAGTTAAAGAACATCCTGTCAAATTAAAACTTAATAAATCTATTAATAACTTTTTCATACTTTTTATTTCACCCTTATCACACAACTGAATTTTGTCTGAATTATAGGACCTGTCATAGAACAATGGTGTTAATTCAAATTGTACTGTCACCAAATAAATTATCTATTTCACAAAGAATTACCAATTTAAAATTATGTTTGAATAATACAATACAAAAGTGAAATTATTATGTAAACACCAGGTGGGATTGTGAAGAATTTCTGTCCCAATTTCATAAAATTGGATGATGTAAAGAGATTTAAAATTTACATATCAAATTTAGCATCACTATACATGTTTGATATAATCACAACAACAACCATTATACACATGTAATGACATAATACACATGTAATGACATTATCCACATGTTATAACATAATACACATGTGATTGATTGATTGATTGGTGTTTAACACCACTTTCAACACTATAATACACATGTGATGACATTATACACATGTTCATATGTAATGATATGATAAATGTTTTTATTAAGATAACTTGATGTAGATGGTGCATGGCACATAAATAAGCCTAACAGTCTATGGTAAATACTTATGTATCAAAAATCTCTTTCTAGTCAACTGCTTAACATGCTTAAGTAAATGTCCTTATTGCATTCATTAAAAAACATATATATCTAGACTACACCTTTATTGTCACTTTTATCATTCTTCTAATTTCTGGATTTCATCTCAATGGATATGGATAAATTAGTCAGTGTATTGGCTTTTTCCTCAACTACAGCGAATGTCATATCTTGAAAACGCTTTTAAAAGTTATATTTGACCTACTTCTCCTCATGAATCAGTTTCAAATATAAAACTAAAACAACTTTGGTATCTTTAAATGAAACTCTTTTAATTCAAAATTAAATGCAATTTTCTTACTGTGGGACTCGCAAGAGATTAAATTAGAAAAATTAGAAACCACAAAACCCAAGCATTTATTATAATATCAATTTTCAATGAAGTTTTATATTTCAATAATTGAGCTAAAACAAACTCTACATAGTTATAAGGTATACTGTAACAATCAGTTCACTGTTTTTAGGAAATAAATATGTAGGGAATTTTTACAAAGGTAACTACTCCAAATGACAACAGATCATCAATGAAACAGAAGTTACTGTTGATTAACTTATCTCCGTGGGTACCAATATTTGTGGATTCAAGAAAAATTTGTATTTTCTTAGATACTGCATTTCATGGGACCCAAGTCTGAATACAAGCACATAAGAAATTTGTACTTCATTGAACAATTGAATTTGTTGTTCAGCTATACCCACAATAAACCACAAAAATTGAGACATCACAAATAATTATGAATCCACAAAACATAAAAGGTGAATGCCTGGTACTATCAGTATTCCCAATAAAAAAATGATGTTATAATCAATGATTCTTGATAAAAAATAATTCACCAATTGTCATTTTTTTTTAAAACATATAGACCATTTTGTTATATTCAAGTTGGTTCAGATGGAAGTTAAATATCCTCTAATAAACCAAATGAGTTTTTTTGTATAGCCGATTAAACCATTTTAAACTACTAAAATTCCATTCCCTACCAAAATAAAAGTATACACCAACTTCCCTTTCAGAATAATGATTAACAAAAATGAATAATGAGATGATCATTTTGTTCATATTTTTACAGTAAAAGTAACAAGTTTTGAAGGCTGTGTAACACCAGTCTTAAACAATGCTCTGTGCAAGGTGCCTGTCTCTATATCAGACTCTGGTACTTTCTTGTTTGTTCCCTTAAACAACCTGGAAAAGATAAATTCAATAGGTAAATTTATTTTCTTTATATATAATTGTACTTATTCTTTATTCTATACCATGAAAAGTTTCTTTTATATTGTACTTATATGTAATATAAGTACTGTTTATACAAACAGCCTTTCCAGCTTACACTTAATAATTAATGTGATAATAAAGATGCTGACATTCTGGATACATTTAATTAACATACAGGGACCACTTGTTATATCTTGAGGTTAATTTCCCTGACATTTGACACTTTGAAGTTACAACTGGAATCTCACTAGGAGGCACTATAATCTTTTCTTAATCAGATACATGTCATAAATAATCACTGTTGGTGAGGAAATGCAGATAATGATACCAGATCTTATAAAAATTAATTACACAACAATTAGTATATCCTTGGGGGCACTCAGCTGTTTCCATCTGAGTTTTTGGACCTTGATGGAATTTTATCACTGGTTATTTCTAAAATTTCATTCATCCCCAAGCATTTCGGGGACAAATTTTATCAAATTTATTCCAGCGCCAGTTTGATAGACCCATGCTACTCTTCTAGCACATGGGCTATCCCCATGCAGACCTCGCACACCCTGGCTGCAGATGAGACGCCTAGTCTCATCACCTAAGTGGAGAACCCTCGCTTCACATTCCCCGGCTGGCGTATTGTCGGGCAGGCAGGTTCTTCCTTACACTGGAGGTTGCAAGCTGACTTGCTCAGGCAGGAACTCAAAATTGTCTTGTATGCTGAGTGTTTCCCTTTGGCCAAAACTAGATTGATTAATTGTTTTTATATTAACATTATTATTCATTTTAAAATATCTTTCTGCTTTAAGCCAGTATGATTTTGCTAAGACTATGTTTTTGGTTTACACACAAATACCCCTTATGTTACATTTGGTATTGTTTTTCGGAGCTGGTATTTGCTCAATTACATGGATGAGATCTGGACTTTAATAATTGAGATTTGCTCTATTAGGAGAGTTTTACTTTAATTAAGTGTGGGTTGTCAGGACTTGCTCATCAATACACACAAAACATAATTCTACATGAAAAATTACACGTGTTAAAATAAAAGGCTGATGGGATCATAAACATTTCATTTTATCAATGGAAGGCTTGCATATTGATACCTTGATCTTTGGAAAAGGTAAATAAAAATATGTCTCAAGAAATTTAGTAAGCCTGCCACTGGTGACTCAGAATGTTTTGATCACTGACACTAGAGGCATAAACAGGAGTATTTGCAGACCACTTTAACAACTTCACAAGAATTCAAGACAACCTCATACTAAAAGTACAGAAACAATATTTCACTTTATGAGACTCAATAAATATACAACATTAGACTGGAGACAAAATAAAAATATGAGACTACAGAAAAGAAATACAATATGAGACAACAGAATACAAATTTGGTTGTTTGTATAAATCAGTAAATAATTTAATTTTGGATGTAACACGTCTTCTGATTGGCTGAAAGATTTTGTCTATCAGCTCATAGACATAATTTTGTCATGTGACCGTGACATCATCAATGTTTTTTCATGATTTACTCCTTAAAATTGGAATTCAGAATTAAATTATAGGGACGGACTGAAATATTTCTGTCTATTTCGAAATAACCTCAAAAATGTGGTGCACACTGAATTTAAAAGTGTGCACCACATTTTTGAGGTTATTTCAAATAGACAGAAAAAATATTACAGTCATTCCTAAAATAAAACATAAAATAATCCTTTTGGTTAGGGGGGGAGGGGGTTTGCTAAGCATAATATGATTATAATTGTCTTCTAGCTGAACTTCCAGTAACAATTATTTCACGTTTATCCAAGAAAAGTTTCAGAGTACCTGGTTAAACCACAGGTTAAGGTCATAACGATGAAATGTTACGGTTATAAGTCCTTCCTGACAAACTTGTTCCTCTATGTTATAAGAGATTACTGATGGTTGCCCCAAGGTTAACATCACATATAATCTATCTGTTCTGTTGAAATTCAAAATAACACTTTGATCAATTATTAAGCTTTAAAATGTTTGACAACAAGATAACTGATTGTCATAGTAAATGCAGTTACACTTTTTTAATTGTAATATGGACCAAGGTGTACGTTCCAGAGAAAAAATATGTCTAAGATAAGAACTTACTTGAGTGGTTCAGCTTTAGCTGAAGGGGGTGTGTCCTCTGAAGGTGCTGTAGGTATCACTGGTTTAGGGACAGGTGTTTGCTTTGGAACTGCCAATTTTACCTGCATTGGAATACCTGTAAGAGTTATTAAAATTATTAATGATTCTAACATCAACTCTCACATGTTGCTATTGGTTAAGATATGGAATATAAGCGATAAACATTGTATATTTGGCTTCTATCATTAATTCAAGTTTATCATTATACTATTACTCACAAGTTTATTTTCTAGTTTTATGTGACTAAACAATTATATGAATGTGTGATGTCCTAAGGGCAAGGCAACTCCAAAATAAATATAAAAATAAAATAAAATTATTATCAAGATCAAATAGTTATTAGCTGATTTAAAGCTATAGAATATGTGTCACATAGTAAACATTGCTTTTATCTCAGTGTAAACAAGGGCAATTAATCCAAGACATATTTGTATTTACTTGTTATAACCCACTTTTTGAAGCAGGCAGTATAGTGATGGACTATCCATATAGGATTTTTTTTTTTGAGACAAGTGCCTGTGATGACAAGGACTTTGTCATATCTGCACACGACAATACACATTTGAATCCACTCCTACTCGCATACCCTAATCAGAATTTTCCCAGAATCTTCACCATATAAAGCCATTAAGCACCTCTATATTGTTTTTGAACCCATTTATTTAGGGAGTTTCCTTAGCAATTCATGGACTTTTGACATTGTTTTATCTGGGAATACATACTTTGTATCTGCTAATCCTCCTCAATCCCTTTTCAGAATTCATTGAAACTTCCAACAATATCAACCATATAATGCATTGTGCATCTCCTATTTTGTTTTTTATTTGAAACATTTGTGGAGCAGGGGTTATCAATTTGTGAGTTCTGTTCACAGTATTCTAGTTTTGCTTTATTTCATTTGTTCACTATTTATTTAGTCTTGTGAATCTCTTTGTATCATATTAGTTTTCTATTCACTAAACCTGGAGTATCACTCCACATTTACATAAGTTCCCTACTAACTAAATCTACAATTTCTTTTAGTATTTATATATGTACAATACAAACAAACTCTTGTGAATCTCTCCCTATATCATTGCCGTTCAAACTATGTCCGGAGTATCTCTTTGTATTTATGTTAAATCCCTACTCACAAAGGAGTATCTCTCCACATTTTTTATTAGATCCCTAATCACTAAATCTTGAGTGACTCTTTGTAATTTTATTAATTCCCTACTAAGTCTGGAGAAACTCTATATCTACATAATGGCACATATAATCCATTAAATATTCCCAAATAATCAGATGTAAAGAAAGTATTACCATCTAATTCTCTGTTATGGTATTTCTGTATAGCTTTGGCAGCATCTTCTTTCTGTACATACATAACCTCTCCTATACCTTCCTTAACAAGTCTGGCTCTTTTCATAGCTCCTACTGCACCAAATAATTCCTAAAATCAGGTGTATTTTATCAGAAATAAATGTGGATAGTGTCCACTTGTGGACACAGATGATGCCCCCGCTGGCATATTATATAGTTATAAAGGGACATAACTGAAGAACGGTAAAAGTGACGCTATCCAAATTTGAACTTGATCTGAGTTTTGTGGTAATATGCATTGTGTGTAAGTCTGATAACATTTGGTTGAGGCTAACTTAAGTAAATAACAGAAACTAAAAATTCAGCAATTTTTCTATTTGTAAACATGCATAACTCTAGAACGGTTGTGTATAAGTTTTATAACATTTGGTTGAGACAAACTAAAGTTAGAGAACGGAAACGAAAAATTCAGCAATTTTTATGTTTATAAAGGGACATAACTCAAGAATGGTAAAAGTGTCGCCACCAAATTTCGTACTTAATCTGTATTATGTAGTAATAAGCATTGTGTATAAGTTTCATAACATTTGGTTGAAGCAAACTAAAGTTAGAAAACATAAACAAAAATTTTGTACTTGATCTTAGTTTTATGGTAATGAATATTGTGTATAGGTTTCATAATGTTTGGTTGGGGCAAACCTAAGTTACAGAATGGAAACTAAAAATTTTGCAATCTTTCGATTTATAAAGGGGCATAACTCAATAATAGTTAAAGTGACACTACCCAAATTCAACTTGATCTGTGTTTTATCAGTGGAAGTCAAAATTAAACATTGCATTGTATAAAGCATTGATTGTAGTTGATTCAACTATAATAATGGACAAAGGAAGATAACTCCAATTTTAAAAATTACTTGATATTTAGAAGAAAATAAAAAATTTGCAATTTTTCCATTTATAACGAGCATAACCCTAGAACGGTTAAAGTGACGCCACCAAAATTCAAACTTGATCTGTGTTTTGTGGTAATAAGCATTGTGTATAAGTTTCATAACATTTGGTTGAGGCAAACTTAAGTTTGATAGAGAACGGAAACTAAAAATTTAGCAATTTTTCCACTTGTAAAGGGGCATAACTCTAGAACGGTTAAAGTGATGCCACCAAAATGCAAACTTGATCTGTGTTTTGTGGTAATAAGCATTGTGTATAAGTTTCATAACATTTGGTTGAGGCAAACTTAAGTTAGAGAACGGAAACTAAATATTTTGCAATTTTTCCATTTATAAAGGGGCATAACTCTAGAACAGTTAAATTGACGCCACCAAAATTCAAACTTGATCTGTGTTTTGTGGAAATAAGCATTGTGTATAAGTTTCATAACATTTGGTTCAGGTAAACTCAAGTTAGAGAACGGAAACCAATTATGGGCAGTGATTTTGCTAGCGCTCGTCACTTTCGTAATTTACGAAACTGTTTTCAAAATGAAGAAAGTATTTCAAATCAATTTCGTCACTTAAATTTGGAAAGTGTAAAAATATTTTCGCATGAAAATGCTATAATTCTACCTGTCTACATGTTTCTGACAAGTTTATGACCCTCAGCTAATTAACATTTACAACAGGTATTATAAATTTGTGATTACAGCTAATCCGCTTACAGCCATCGGATGGTTCACTAATAGGGTGAATTATTTTCCCCAGTAAAGTTAGTCAGTCTGCATTTTAATTTCAATATTTCTCAAGGCCAAAGACCACAATTTGCAGTTCGTTTGTCGTAGTTTCGTCATTTGAACAAAATTGTTTTCCCCCGGACAGTTCGCTTTTTAATTTCAATATTTCTAAAACGATCATAATTTGCAGTTCGTTTGTCGTAGTTTTGTCAAATGATCCTATTTTTTGTCATTTTTGATATAAAACGTTCAATTTCGATCAAAAAGATAGAACTTTATTCAAAACGTTCAGAAATGTTTTCACGTTAAAAACTTCCATCATCATCAACGAGTTAAACAGGAGCTTCTTTTACGATATGCCTTAGTCCTTCAAAGTCTGACAAAGATGTATAGTTAGTAATATGAATACATCCTTGGTCCCTTGCTGTTACCCAAAATAGTGTTGATTTTCATCTCGCGCAAAAGTGACTAAAGCCCTCAAAATCCTAGCTTAAACCCTGATTATGGGACATAGGTACGTACGTTCGTTCGTATGCACATACAGACGGACAAGGGTAAAACTTAATGCCCCCACCGTAGCATAAAAATACCAATCATCATCTCCAATAAACTTTATTTTGTTCATCAAAATCATTGAGGCAAGATGGAAGGCCATGTTTATATTACAAATTAAGTTTGACTTATGAGGGCAATTCTCCTAGATCAATTTAACATGAATTTCATTGGTCAATGTCCCATTATTTGTTCATTTGTACGTCATGAACCTTGTGTTGGTTGACTGGGATTAAAAGTGTAAGCTGGATAGGCGCAAAAAAAAAAGGCCCCCCCCCCCCCCCCCCCCCCACACAGAGGTTGTATACTGTAAGGACAATTGGTCATTGTTAAAAGCTGTATGATGACATGCCTTTAAATATATTTCATATTATGTTATACAAATCACAAAAAATAGTTTAAAAACAAAACAAAACAAAAACAAATTGCTAAACTCTTAAAATAAAAAAATAACATGAAGCAAAGAAGATCTCTTACAACAATATCATCTTGACTGACGACAGGATGGAGATTGGTAATGGAAATCTTATATCCTTGTAATGGACTGACCAATGTTTGTGCTAAATCTGGTACCTGAAATGTATAAATTATGTAACCAGTAAGTAGGTAAATTGATGTCACAATTCATACTAGAGAGGTTTAACTGAGTTCTTTGATATAAAAATGATAGGAAGGTATTTCACTAAGTGTTAAATTCAACAATGGCACATAATTTGAGCTAACAATTCAAACAGGGTTTGAAACTGACTTTAAATACCTGGCTCATCTGAACACAACCTTATCATACATTACAATGAAGTACCTATATTTGTAAAAAAGTGTGAATATATTCCATTTTGATAAAAAGACTAGAAATAGATAAATAAATAAGTTAGATGCTTAATGAAACAGACAACAACCTCCTGAAACCTCTTGTGAACCTCACCTGGTCTTCATTAATGGCCATTCTAATTTCCTGTTTTATTAACTTAGGTTTCTTAATAACATCAACCATATCTGCTACCATGGTAGTTTTAGCAAACTTTAATGGTCCACTCGCTAACTTCAGAGGACCTGAACTAGCAAATTTCAGTGGTCCCTGTGTTGGGGCTTTCCTTTTCACAGCTATTGGTGCGGGTTTGATTGGAGGCTTAGAAGTAATAACAGGTATAGGTTGTGGACGTAATGTTTGTGGATATTTGACGGTCAGTGTTTTTTCTGTGACATGTGTTTTTGGTTGACCATAATGGTATCCCACAGGTTCATCATAATACTCCTCTACCAAAGGATCTGCCACAGTTTCGTATTCATCATTTTGGACTTTAAAAACTGGCCCTCTTCCACTTGTTATCTGTACATTCTGAAGGCATATAAGTAATTATTTATTACAGAGAGAATTGAGAGAATTTTGAGAGCATTTTTAATTTGAAATATATGAGTATCATCCAATTTATGAATTGATAGACAAAATGCACTTTCTAAGCTTACACAAATCCTGAAAAATTATTAAGACATAAATATATCCTAAAAGATAATGATTTTTTTATTTGATATCAAATTTGTTATCAAATCACTGAACAGTTCATATCTATGAATATCTCCCTCCATGTTAGCCTTTTTGGCACATTTGTGCATTTACCTGGCTATACTTATGTAGTAAAAGCAATAATTTTGTGTTTACATGAATTATCATTGATATGGTCATAATTATAAATTAATGGTTTACAAAAGTTTGAATTTTTCTAATTACTAAGGATTTTCTACCCAGGAATAGATTACCTTAGCTGTATTTGTCAAAATCTTTTGGAATTAACAACTTTCAAAATAAGTCTCTTACAGTTTTGATGTCCCCTAAATTTATGTGAATCTTTACTGACTTGAATCATGAAAAACTCAAACATTTTTTTGTTTTATTATTTTATATGGTTGTTTTACATCTACTACAAGTCTGAACTGATACTTTAAGTAACTTTACACAAGATACATTGCTTACCTGAGATTGTGTATTGTCAATATTTCTTGTAATGGTCATGGCATTACCAGACATCTGAACACCTTGTCGAGATCCCTGACCTCCAAGCTTAAAAAAAAGGAATATGGTTACTAAATATATGTAGTTATGGTAGTAAAAATATTTCTTGAATTTACAAATTGATTAATTAAAATTACTGCATAAAAATAAAATGCCAAATCTTATGGTGTTTATATATCACAACTCGTTCATTATGCCTGTGTCTGTTGTGACGTTTTGGATTTCAATGAACGTAATCTATGTAGTACTGGTAAATTATTAAGTCAGGGATTTCATCACCACAAATTACTTAAAACCTTTACTAAATTCTTCCATAAATATAAAGATTTGGTTTGGAAGTTTGGTTGTACCTGTAGAAAACTTATTTCAAACGGGATAGCACATCCTAATTTTTACGCAGATGTTGTTTACAGAGCCCCGGAAATTGAGATACGATCCGGGTAAACTTATTGATCCTTTAAATAAACTTATTCTAAAAGGTTACCAATTCAAAACTGTAATTAGATCTTTGAATATTGTTTTTATTGGTATTAATATTGATTTTGTTATCAGCAAATTAAAATCAAACTAAACATTATCTTTATATACATATGCACATTCATGGCCCTTCAATCTGTTGATACCTGTATTGGCATTGCACAAGGTCATGTTTTTCTCTAACTGTTAATGATGTCTTTACACTAAATCCATTGGATGTTGGATGTGTACTGTTGATATTTTAGTCTTAGATGCATGATTTTTTTATCAGTTATTATTGGCTTTGAATTAGCTGTCAGTAACTGCGAGTACTCTCAGATCTGTACTTAGTGTCTTTTTGTTGTGGTGATGTATAAGTACCCTGCCACGTCCACTCTGTGTTTTTGTTAGACGTATTTCTGCTTTGTATCCATCCGATGAGTTAAGCCCTTTTCAACTGATTTTCATAGTTTGTTCATATGTGGTACTGTTAAACTACTGTCCCAGGTTAGGGGAGGGTTAGGGCCTTCAAATTAATTTAACCCCGCCACATTCTGTATGTGCCTGTCCCAAGTTAGGAGCCTGTAATTCAGTGGTTGTGGTTTGTTGCTGTATATCATATTTGTTTTTTGTTCATTATTTTGTACATAAATCAGGCCGTTACATGTTTAGTTTTCTTGTTTGAATTGTTTTACATTTGTCATTTTTGGACCTTTTATAGCTGACTATGCGGTATGGGTTTTACTCATTGTTGAATGCCATATAGTTGTTAATTTCTGTGTCCTTTGGTCTCTTGTGGAGAGTTGTCTCATTTGCAATCGCACCACATCTTCTTATTTTTATATAGAAGTCACTGGTGTGTTGAAAAATTAAAAAAAATAAATAAATTAGTTATGTTAGTAATCCTTTGTTACTCTCAAGAAATAATAAGAAAAATCATTAAATCTTGATAAAAATGTAAATACATTTCACATTTTGTTCCAAGTTTTATCACTGAAACATAAAAATCAGGTATCAGAATAACCTGTTTTTTTAAAGTGGAAGTAAACTTTTCCATACTTGATTTACTGCAGTGGTAATAACAGATATATCATAAATTCAAAAATTCAAAAAGCTGTTGTTCCACAAATCAAAGAATGCCTTATATCATAGCTTGAAGTTATATTACTATGATATCGCTGACATTAGAACTCACCACTAAGGCAAAAATCTTGAAAAATACGGTTTGGTTTTCTGAATAGATTGCCTTTACTGAAACGTGTTTGAAGTTAAAATAAAATGCTCCGCTGGGGCGCAGCTTGATACGACCGCAGAGGTCGAACCCTGAACAGTTGGGGCAAGTATGGACACAACATTCAAGCTGGATACAGCACTGAATTTGGATTGTAATTAAATATTTGACACAGCATAGGTTTCTCACACAGAATGAAAGTGGTCTAAGAACTTAAAATTTTTTAATTTACCTATTAAAACCATATCATTATTATTTGCTTTTATATATAAATCAGAAATAACCAATTTAAAATGGAAAATTTTAAAGAAAAAAAATGAAAAAAAAATCCCCCCAATTTTTTGAACCCCCTTATGATTCATTTCCCCCAAACTCAATCCCAGCCTTCCCTTTGTGGTATGGTACCTTGCAGTACAATTTCAGAGAGATCCATACACTTGAACACAAGTTATTGTCTGGAAACTAGAAAAATGCTTGTTTTTTGGCCCCAAATTCCTATACGTTTAGGGCAATTACCCCCAATCTCAAACCCAGCTTTCCCTTTGTGATATGGAACCATGCAGTACAATTTCATAAAGATCCATACACTTACACACAAGTTATTGTCCTGAAACTAGAAAAATGCTTGTTTCTTTGCCCTTTTTTGGCCTCTAATTACTAAAATTTTGAGGGAATTACCCCCAAAATCAATCCCAGCCTTCCCTTTGTGGTATGGTACCTTGCAGTACAATTTCAGAGATCCATACATTTGAACACAAGTTATTGTCTGGAAACTAGAAAAATTATTATTTTTGGCCCCTTTTTCCTTAACTTTTTGGGCAATTACCCCCAAACTCAATTCCAGCTTTCCCTTTGTAATATTGAACCTTGTAGTACAATTTCATAAAGATCGGTACACTTACACACAAGTTATTGTCATGAAACTAGAATAAAATGCTCCGCTGGGGCGCAGCTTGATATGACTGCAGAGGTCGAACACTGAACAGTTGGGGCAAGTATGGACACAACATTCAAGCTTGATACAGCACTGAATTTGGATTGTAATTAAATATTTGACACAGCATAGGTTTCTGACACAGAATGAAAGTGGTCTAAGAACTTAAAAAAAAATTAATTTACCAATTCAAACCATATCATTATTATTTGCTTTTATATATAAATCAGAAATGACCAACTAAAAATGGAAAATTCTAAAGAAAAAAAAGGAAAAAAAACTCCCCCCCCCCCCCCAAATTTTTTGAACCCCCTTATGATTCATCACCCCCAAACTCAATCCCAGCCTTCCCTTTGAGGTATGGTACCTTGCAGTACAATTTCAGAGAGATCCATACACTTGAACACAAGTTATTGTCTGGAAACTAGAAAAATGCTTGTTTTTTGGCCCCAAATTCCTAAACGTTTAGGGCAATTACCCCCAAACTCAAACCCAGCTTTCCCTTTGTGATATGGAACCTTGCAGTACAATTTCATATAGATCCATACACTTACACACAAGTTATTGTCCTGAAACTAGAAAAATGCTTGTTTTTTTGCCCTTTTATGGACCCTAATTCCTAAAATTTTGAGGGAATTACCCCCAAAATCAATCCCAGCCTTCCCTTTATGGTATGGTACCTTGCAGTACAATTTCAGAGAGATCCATACACTTGAACACAAGTTATTGTCTGGAAACTAGAAAAATGCTTATTTTTGGCCCCTTCTTCCTAAGCTTTTTGGTCAATTGCCCCCAAACTCAATTCCAGCTTTCCCTTTGTGATATGGAACCTTGTAGTACAATTTCATAAAGATCCATACTCTTACAAACAAGTTATTGTCAAGAAACTAGAAAAATGCCTGTTTTTTGCCCCTTTTTGGCCCCTAATTCCTAAAATTTGGAGGCAATTACCCCCAAAATCAATCCCAGCATTCCCTATGTGATATGGAACCTTGTGGTACAATGTCAGAGAGATCCATCACTTACACACAAGTTATGTCTGAAAGTTACAAAAATGCTTATTTTTGGACCCTAATTCCTTAACTGTTGGTACCATAACCCCCAAAATCAATCCCCACCTTCCTTTTGTGGTAATGAACCTTATGGTTAAATTTCATTGAGATCCATTCACTTAACTAAAGTTAGAGTGCGAAAACTAATGTGTTTTTCGGACAACGACGACGACGCCAACGTCATTCCAATATACGACCACAAAAAATTTTTTGCGGTCGTATAAAAATGCTTGTATTTTGCCCCTTTTTGGCCCCTAATTCCTAAAATTTGGAGGCAATTACCCCCAAAATCAATCCCAGCATTCCCTTTGTGATATGGAACCTTGTGATATAATGTCAGAGAGATCCATACACTTACACACAAGTTATTGTCATGAAACTAGAAAAATGCTTGTTTTTTGCCCCTTTTTGGCCCCTAATTCCTAAAATTTGGAGGCAATTACCCCCAAAATCAATCCCAGCATTCCCTTTGTGATATGGAACCTTGTGGTACAATGTCAGAGAGATCCATACACTTACATACAAGTTATGTCTGGAAGTTACAAAAATGCTTATTTTTGGCCCCTAATTCCTTAACTGTGGGTACCATAACCCCCAAAATCAATCCCCACTTTCCTTTTGTGGTATTGAACCTTATGGTAAAATTTCATTGAGATCCATACACTTAAACTAAAGTTAGAGTGCGAAAACTTATGTGTCTTCGGACGAGGACGACGACGCCAACGTCATACCAATATACGACCACAAAAATTTTTCTGCGGTCGTATAAAAAATGCCTTGACTGAACTGTGTTTTATCTCTAATAAACAATGGAAGAGCTTTGGAGCACTCAGACACTTATTATTGCTTTCATTTTCCTTTGTGAACAGCAAGGAAACATATTTAAACAATATTTTGATTTGAGTAATCTCCCTTTGTCTATAATTGTAGGAGATTTTCCTTATTAAAAAAAAAATGGTTTTCTTGACAAGTATGGTAATACACATATGTTTACCACACTGTACTCACAAACATAGGCAAACACTGGCTGTGATATAGCTGTCCAGCCAGTGACTATTGGAATTTTGACAGCACTTTGTTCAAATCTATAAAACAAAAAAACATTATATCTTAAAATTCTTACTTACTGTTCTTGTTATTTTGAAATTTGTAGATCCATTATTATGATTACCGGTATTCATCTACAATAAAAAATTGTGTTTACTGCATATAATTGAATACCCAGGCCATCCGTTAAAGTTTGCATCTTTAGCTTGTTCTCAAAAAGTATCATATAATGCAACCACATACTTTGTTTATTGACAGATTATCTATGATTTTGAAAACGAGAGGGAGTTTCTCGGCTAAAATTTCATCAAAGGGCGAGAAAGACATCACAACTGGGACAACTGTTCTTTTTTTTTTATAAATATAAAGACCAATGATATGGCAATGGTGATATTAACATCCAAAATTCATTTCGTGATTGAAATTAATTGTACTATAATAAAACTCACTTGTATCCTGGCATAGTATATAAAGATTTTAAGATTAAAATGTAAGGCTTAAACAGATAAGCTATCCTCTATCCAAATATGAAGACAATGATAAAAACCTACCTGAGTCGGAGCATTATTAACATTTCTTGTTATTGTCATGGAATTACCAGATATTTGGACACCTCCTGAAGAATTTCCTTGATTTCCAATCTGAAATAGAAATAAAAATTTATTATCAATATTGTAATCAAGAAAGTTTTCCATACAATGTAAATGATTTACTGAAGACAAAATTTTATGGACGGAGGTCGAAGAAGATATTGAAACTTTCAAAAACAATTTTTGATTCTCAAAGTAAATATTTTTTTTTTTAGCTTCAAATCAATCTGATAATTGCAACCACATACTTAATGCTACCATATAGATAGGTGAAAAAAAGAGTATTATAGATTTTTTTTGTTAGTATTTGATATCATAGTTAGAATAAGTTAGTTAACTGTAGCTTTTGATTAAAACATGTCAAATGATCAGAATGGTTTTAAAATGGTTTAAGGGTAGACTACTCTGTAAAATTCCTTTATTTTTTGGTATAAAAGCAACACCTTTTGTCTTTAATTCTGCGACTTTTGTCACAGCAGTGTTCTCCCCAGAAATTTTTTAAGGCGCAAAATTTCAAGGCGCGTAACTCTATTTTAGAGTGAACTATTGTGATCTGAAGCAATCGGTCATAAATCATTACATGCAATAAACCACAGTATTAATATACATGATAAAGAATAAGAATATATATATGAAATAAATTCATTTTAAACACAAAAAGCATTTTTATCACAGTCAATTAAATAAGTCAAATGTATATATATTTCATGAAAAATCCTCATTTTCTTCTGGGCCTTCCAATGCTGAAAGCTTCAGAAATATTTATTTCTTTACTCTCTGTTCCTTCTAGAGATATAGTAACAAGACAGTTTGTAATTTTGTTGGACAGCCTTTTCCTCAGTCTTTATCCTCTTTAGGGTTGAAAACATCATCTGCCTTTCGCTTAACCATTTCTTCTTTGCAAAGAACATGTTGATTCAGCATTAAAATTGATTATGTTTAAGATGTTTGGTATACAACTTTTTAAAACAAAAAAATTGTAATGAACCAGCTGACCAGTGTCTGTAGTTTGACATTACGCTTCCGTGTGTAAAATTGTCAAAACGTTTCTTTGGCAGGTAGATATAAACGAAACTTGACAAATTCGTCAAAGTTAAAACCAGTGAAATTCTTTACTAGTGACATTATACAAATGCTGCAGCGATTCCATACATATATTTCCCGATGGACGAATTAACGATCGATGTTAAAAATTATTTTATCTCTAAAACATGACAGTTGACAGACGAATTTTACTTGCAAGCAACAATTTTTCACTTTCTAATAAAATAAATCACTCCTCGTTATCTTAAATAAAAGTTTATTTTACTTTTTTGACGTACAAATACTCTCATTCATAAATTTCATCGTAAATTTCTTTTAGTAATGTGTATTCAAATTTATCGCTTGTATTCATCATGTTCATTGGTCGTGTTTAAATAGATTCTTCTTCTCGACCAATGAAAAAATTTGTTACTTAAATGGCCAAGTATCGCACACAGACGATGCGTAAATACAATGTATTTGCGATCTATTTCTTCAATTTTTGCACTGAAGTTTTTAAAAACTTTTATTTTCTTCTAAAAATATCTATCTTCTTGATGATCATTTACGCTATAACCTGATTACATAGTCTGATAAGGCTTGAACAGGTAAATCAGAGACTTTTGCTAGTTATCAGTTATTGCGCAACATTGACCGACCTCTCAGCGGTAATCAGCAACTTGACAATTTTAACCAACATTTATAATTAAAATGTGAAAATTAACACGCTGCGGGATCAAGTATTAAAGGACAGTGGCCAATTAAGGCGCTGCGGGATCAACGAAAATATTTTGAAGGCGCTGCGGGACCGCAGCGTCATATCGGCCTGGGGAGAACACTGCACAGGCGAGACAAAAACCACATCTTAGGGTCATTTAAGCACGGTCCCTTCAAAGGATGATGTCTAATATGATAAGAACTATTGACTAGTCATACAAAGTCAAAGACAATGAATACTTACAGTTCTAGTAAACCCAGTATTTGTCTTGACTCCAGAATTAATTGTTCTAGTAAAGTTTGGATTTGTTTTTACTTCAGTATTGATTGTTTTGAATGTTTTACCAAGTCCTGTTACAATAACTTGTCCACTATTATTGTTCTGTTTATTTTTATTTTGTTGAATTTTCATTCTAGCATCAGATAATTTAGCTTTGGCTGCTAGTTTGTCACGTGCATCATTTGGACGTTTGGCTGCAGCGATTTTGTCTCTTGCATCAAAAACTGTCTTATTAAAACCAGACAGATTTTTATTTGGAAACGACACAGAAATCGGTTTGATATTTGATTTATCCTGTAGTCCTTTATTTTTACGAGTTTGTAAAGATATAATATTATTCTTTTTAGTTTGCAGAGACAAACGCCCATTTCTCTGTTTTTGCATCATAACATTCTTCGGACTTCTAAATGTTACTCTGTTTGTCCTTGGAGACCGAGTTGCCTGTTTTTGAAATTTAACTTTTCCTTTTACAAAATTTTTGCCTGCTCTGCTTTCATTACCAACATTCCTAAAATAAAAATTAATACCAATAACAGAGTTGTGAAGTTGCTGCCCAATGTTTCATACAACCTATTAAAAAATAGCATAATGTGTATACAGATACACAACAGTTAAGAGGTTGTATCTCCTTCAAATATGTAATCTAACAGAATTTAAGTTTAAAATAAAAAGCTCAGCAATTGAACAAAAATATAATCCTGCATATCTAATTGCAAAACCCCTGAAAGCTGCTTAATTTGGATATTGAGAAGCCAAAATGAAACATTTCTTCAAAATATGAAGATGTTGCATTACCAGAAAGGCACCTTATTTTTTAATTATCTGGCTCATAGGCATACATATAAAATATATGTATATAGATTAATGCTGGCCTGTAAAATTTTTGGTTTCTCTCTGCATATTTTCATTCAGTCTTCAAGAAAAGAAATAATACTAAACAAAAAAATGAAAATAACTCTTTTGTTTTACATTGTATTATAAGAATAACACACATACAAATGTAATAATAATGCTTAAATTCTAAATTGACTTATACTACTAACTGACAAATTATTATTGTGTTAATCGAAATTCTAAGAGAGGAAATATACTCTGTTCTATCACGATTGCCAACAAACAATGATGTAGCATTATCGTATGCATATATTTCACTTTACTTTTGGCATCCAATTTTCCCTATATAAATACATGAAACATGTACCTTTTGACCATTTTTGTCAAGCCTTCGACTTTAGTCGAAAAAGCGAGATATAGCGATCCTACATTCCATCGGCATCGGCATCATCATCGTCGGCGGCGTCCACAAATATTCACTCTGTGGTTAAAGTTTTTGAAATTTTAATAACTTTATTAAACTATCCTGGATTTCTACCAAACTTGGACAGAAGCTTGTTTATGATCATAAGATAGTATCCAGAAGTAAATTTTGTAAAAATAAAATTCCATTTTTTCCGTATTTTACTTATAAATGGACTTAGTTTTTCTGCCGGGAAATATTACATTCACTCTGTGGTTAAAGTTTTTAAAATTTTAATAACTTTCTTAAACTATCCTGGGTTTCTACCAAACTTGGACAGAAGCTTGTTTATGATCATAAGATAGTATCTAGAAGGAATTTTTGAGAAAAAAAAAATCCATTTTTTCCTTATTTTACTTTTAAATGGACTTAGATTTTCTGCCAGGAAACAACACATTCACTCTGTGGTTAAAGTTTTTAAAATTTTAATAACTTTCTTATACTACTTTGGATTTGTACCAAACTTGGACAGAAGCTTGTTTATGATCAAATGCTAGTATCTAGAAGGAAATTTTGTAAAAAAATAAATCCATTTTTTCCGTATTTTACTTTTAAATGAACTTAGATTTTTTGCCAGGAAACAACACATTCACTCTGTGGTTAAAAGTTTTTAAAATTTTAATAACTTTCTTATACTATTTTGGATTTGTACCAAACTTGGACAGAAGCTTGTTTATGATCAAATGCTAGTATCTAGAAGGAAATTTTGTTTTCTTTCAGTTAACATTACATTCAGTCTGCAGTTAAAGTTTTAAAACATTTATTAGATTCATAAACTATCCTGGATTTTTACCAAACTTGGACAGAAGCTTCTTACAATCAAAAGATAGTATCAAGAGGAATATTTTTATTGATTTACTTCCACATTTTTGTTGAGCCTGTGATTAACAGAAAAAGTAGGCGAGACACTGGGTTCCGCGGAACCCTTCCGAATTTTTTTAAATTGTCTGGCCTGTAGTTCTGCATAATGTGGGAATTTTATGGGATATATACTTCATTGTAAAATGTACCCAGTACTTGTTTATTTCTCATATTTTGTCACAAAAACACACAATGTCATTGTATATACATATACAATCTTTTCCCTTCATAGAAGCCATGAAAACTCATTAAAGTTTTCTACGCAAGGTCTTTTGGATGGACAGAATGACGGAGCAGTTACTAGATTTGATTTTGCCATTGGCGAATCAGGTAATACTAAGGATCCTTCATGGGTTACGGTATTTTCCTGAAAGCCTGGATATATACACCTTATCGCATTTTATTTTAATCCAGATAAGTTCTGAAATTACACAACTTTTTCATGGTATCGCAATTGCCAACCAGTTGAAGCTACATGTATCTGGGGCACTGTTTAAACAATGTATTGTGCAACAAAATGTTTATAGACATCGTAAACACTGCAAACAAACAGTAGCTCAAAATGGAACTTTTGTTAGTGGAAGCCATAGTAATAATGTGTATCAGCGGGAAAAAATTATGACAAATAAAAGACATAGTACAAAAAATATTTATGCCAGAACATGTCTGGCGGATAGAGGACAGCTGAATTGTGTTTATCCCGAACTAAGATGAACCATGCAGACTTGACATTGGAATAATGTTACAAATGACATTTAAGAAAATATTGTTTATTCTATAATGATATGAATATATAAAAAAAAATATATCAGTCTATTCATGATTTCTTAAAATGAAAAGTAGGGATGAAATATTTTCGATCACGACACTCAGGGTATTGTCCTGGTGAGAGCGTAATCCATCGTTATTTTCCTTAAATTTGCTTTCATTTCTATGAAGCTACTTTTGGTTTATGTTTTTCTTGTAATGCTACTCGTGGGCCCATAATTGGATTTAAGATAATTGTTTGTTTTTTGTTGTTGATGAAAAGACAAGAATCCCTTTTGAATTCTGTAAAATGCTTGTTCAGTACCTAATTTGAACAGTAAAGTTCTTTTTCTGGATGTAATCATCCAAAGATACGTCCGCCATCTTTAAAATGTGGGAAATACAAGCGGAACCTCTCGGATTATTTCATTGCCTTTCATACAACTTGAGTTTCTCTAGATCTTTCCATATGTGTAAGACTTTGTGGGAGCTCAAAAGCACACACTCCTTTTTGCATCAGAAACAGGTAAACATAGCTGTGCTTCATTCACCAATGCAAGGATTTATACAGTAAATAGTTAAACTATATAAATCCTTGACCAATCATGATGGTTATATTTTTCATCAATCAGTCAAAAAAAAAAAACCCAATTATAATGGTTTACCAAAGGACAAGACTGCTACTGTAAATTAATTATTTCATAAGACATATACATACATGTATATTATAAGTTAAATTGATTAAAAGCTGAAAAAGTGTACTACAATGTCTAAAGTATTTAAGTTCCCAAATTGCGCAGAGTATCCAATTTTTCCCCCATTTTGCATAATAAGGTACAGATATCTTATTCTGTTATAGGTTTTCTTAATGGCAGTGTCTGCGCGTACCCGCATGCGGGTTCAAATAGTCAAATTGCCATTCATAGGCTACACATACCCACATCCGGTTTTATGATAAAATGCCATCAGATCGGGAATGAAACGTGAAATATATACGGAATATGTCGCAATTAGTGAATAAATTGATTAAAACTACTCAGAATTTTTATAAATATTTATATATAGGTAAGTGAACAGTTTTTCTCAGTTAATAAATATTCTTAAAATGGAAGAGAGTGATATACATGTGGGGAAGACATTTCAAAGTATCATGAATTGGAACAATTTGTTCAGAACTATCAGTCGATTAATTTTATACAATTGTATAAAAGAAACTCGGACTCAATTGCAGTTGCAGAGAAAAGGAGAACTGGAAAAACACAAATTAAAGAGGAATTAAAGTTTAACAGAATAAATTTTTCCTGTATTCACGGTGCAAAAAATTCCAAACAAGTTCGACAGGAAAAAGACCCAATACAAGGTATTTGTTTTAAATTGTAGTTTTAAATCGAATTTGCCGTGTTTCATTCATTAGACAAGTATATTTTTTTTTTTGTCGAATACTTCTAGTTTTTCTATTGTAAACCGTTCATGATATTAAGGATATGTCTTCTTTCAGTATAATGGTTTATGATGACCTATAATGGTTTACTTTTATAAATTGTTACTTGGAAGCTTAAATTTTAGTCGTTTAAGATATTTTAAAATTTCAGTTTCTGTTTTACATTTTACTAAAAGATTATTAATAATTCTCATATGGGTATTTTTCAAAATCAGTAAAATTTTATTCTTTAAATTTGCATTTACATTTTATAATAGTAATAATTTTTATCATGTTTTTCTTTTACAAGGACTGTACAGTTTCATTTTCCATCAGTGTGCATTTAATTTGCAATGTTTATCATGTTTATTATGTATCATCTAATAAATACAATTTGAAAATATTATTTTTCATACTCTTCACTCGTTCTACACGAAATCCCCAAATTATCGATAATTTCCGTACATATTTCACGTTTCATTCCCGATCCGATGGCATTTTATTATAAAACCGGATATGGGTACGCGTAGCCTATGAATGGCAATTTGACTATTCGTACCCGCATGTGGGTATGTGCAGACACTGCCTTTCTTAATCCCTTTTGGGGATTCTGTTTCTGGAGCTATTTTCTGATAATTCCATATCAAGCCCTAATAAGTCTTTTCAGGAGTATTTTTGCCAGCTACCACACTTCAAATCCACAGGCACTTTGTCTCTAACAAAAAAAAAATCCTATATACATTAAAGTAATACATGTCATACATGTCATATAAAACGAGTTTCTGGTAATTTTAATGTTATCGAAATTATTGAACCAATGCATGCACATACATGTATACTAAACAAACCTGCATGTACATTTTTTTATATTTATTAACAATCTATGGATCTATAACGTATTATCAACAAATAATATTTCATTCAGTGATTGTTGATCACAAGCTAATTAATTTTCAAGTTTGTTGCAGAAGTTTACCAGATCATGACATTGATAAACAATCAACAAAGAGCATGTGGAGCTCGTGACAAATAAGTGAATTAATGGAGCCATGATATTTATTCCTTTTATTTTCCATGCAATCCCATTTGTTAATTAAACTTTTCCTTAACAACTGTTAAATGATTTTTTGTATCAAATTTGTTCTTTCAGAATCAGTTATTCTTATTTACCTTTCAGTGCATGTTTGTTTACATTCTTCATCACGGTTTTCCCCTTGCACTTGCGCTGTGCGGTGGCCAAGTTTTAGCGGTAGGTCTCGCATTTAAGGTCACTGCATACGGAAAAATATTGGTGAATTAGTGTATGGGAAGACAATTATTCAATAGCAGTACATTTATGAAGATTTTGATGATATCAAAGATTTTCTTTTATAAGAAAGTTCATGTACACTTGTTTTATAGTAAAACTTAGCCATTCAAGTATATAAAACATAACCAACTTTTTTTTTTAAATTTGAAGTTTCACATGACTTTAATATACCGGTAACACATTCAAAATGACATTCTTTATATTTAGATTTTGCCATTGTCGATCCTACTGAAACTTGTTATGTCATAAATCTACGTTGAATTATCTACAAAATGATGTAATGGCTGTACTTCTGATATAAATGAATATAATGAGATGTGTGGTTTACCGGTACATCATTGACACTGCAACCCAATAACACAAATAACCAAATGACATGTAAACATGGTAAAGGGTAACTTTCAGTCTACGGCAAAAGACAAGGTGTATGATGATTTAAGGTAGTATGGGGTTATAAACAAAAAGTGACACAATTTTTTAAAACTTTGCCAAAATGTAGTTTACATTGTACTATATTCAAAACTATAATAAAAGGTATAGGTTACCCAGCTTGTTTTTGATGCACCTGACACAACAATTTCTATTAAATTTGATTTTACAATAGTCATCTTGTCATCTTAGATTGTTGTTTCATCACCATTGATCTTTTCACTTATAATTGTATATTGCTTCAAAAGTTTTTAATTTGAAGTAAAAATCTAAAAGCAATTAAATCACTATTTAACACTTGTTTAATTGGTGCAAATATCTTTTGGGGGAATAGGGGTATGGGATGGATGTGCAAATAAATGAAATAACATATCCAACATATACATGATATACAAGGAAATCTTAACATTTCATTATCTAAGGGACAGTGCTTTTATTGCTGTTCTTCATCTTAGTTGTTATTAGAAGGTCTCAGCAATTAAGATTTAATTAAATGCATACATGGCATATAAGACTTTTTATGCAATTTTAAGCTTTTAGTAAAATTGTGTTGAAGATAATAGGTTTAATGATGTTTTTATCAGCTTACTTTAATCCCATACAACACCTTGCAGTAAACATAATATTTAAAAAAAATTGATATATCATATGTATGATGATGCTGATTAAAGTAACAATGCCTAACAGGTGAAATATATAGGCTCACAGGAGCCTACAGTTAAGGCTTGTCATAACAGATAGATGATATTTCAAAATATTTTAAGATGGTGGAATATTACAAACAATTCCAACGTCTAAGAATGAATTTGATATTATAGATTTCATTTCGGTCAAATGAACTCTATTGTGATTTTTTCTTCAGACAAAAGATGAGTGACAAACAAGGTAGAGGAAAAAAAAGACCAAAATCTTATTATTTAAAATGTGCTCACAAGAAAGTACAGCATGGAAACTCCCTGGACACAGACATGAGAGGATTTCTTGTTACTTGTAATGGCAACGAGAAACAAGCTGTTAGAGAAATGTACAACTTGTTAAATGAATATGCTGATAATTTATATGGACCAGAAGAGGTATGTATGTCAGCTTCTCTTAATTTTTCTAATGGTATTTACAAATATTTCCAGGGACGGTTGGGAAATTATTATTTCAAGTTTGCCATTTCAACATGTAATGTGATATAAAAATAGGAAGATTTGGTATGATTACGAATGAGACAACTCTCCACCAGAGACCAAATGAGATAAGAGTTAACAACTATAGGTCACCATACAGACTTCAACAACGAGCAAAACCCATACTGCATAGTCAACTATAAAAGGCCAGGAAATGACAAAAGTAAAACAATTCAAACGAGAAAACTAACAGTCTGATTAATGTACAAAACAATAAACGAAAAACAAATATGATACACAGCAACTAACGACAACCACTGAATTACAGGCTCCTGACTTGGGACAGGCACATACAGAATGTGGTGGGGTTGGGGTTAACATGTTTGCTGGCGCCCAGCCCTCCCCTAACCTGGAGCAGTGGTGTAACAGCACAACATATGAACAAACTATAAGAATCAGTTGAAAAAGGCTTAACTCTTCAGATCAATACAAAGCAGAAAACTAAGTAACAAAAATACAGACTGGATGTGATAGTTCACTCATCAAAGGTTCATTGTCAACCAATTGGACAGGCACATAAGGAATGTGGCTAGATCAAAAATGTTTCTGAGCACTAAACCGTCCTCTAACCTGTGACAATTGTGCAACAGTGCAATATAAGAACAAACTGTAAAAGTCAGTAGGAAAAGGCTCGACTCATTAGATTGTCACGAAGCACAAAACATAACTTACAAAAAGACAAAAGACACATAGTGCTGATCTAAGAGTACTTGCAGTTATTGAAAAATAGTTTAGAGCAAATAACAAGTAATAAATAAGTCATGTTTTCCTATACTAATGAAATTAATTTCCTGTTTTAGACCACAAGTGCTGCTGAACAAAAAGATAGTGACAACAGTGATAGTGAAGATGAGGACTTAGAAGCAGCCATGAAGAAAGAAGTAGATGCCATTAAACAAGTCAAAACAAAAGAAAGACGATTTCAGAATACTAACACTAAGTCTAGAAATACTATTTTTATCAAAACAATTTTAGAAGATCCAAGCACACTAGCACATACAATCTTATCAGACATTTGTGCAAGTGGTGTACAGAAATCTAGATATGCCATTAGGATGCTTCCTATTGCTGAGATATGTAAAGCTCGTTTAGATGATATGGAAGCTTGTGGGAAGGTTTTATTTAAAAAGTATTTTGAAACTCCTTTTGGGTCAGGATTAAGTTACACTACTGTTTTTACCAGGCGAAATAATAATGAAATTTCTAGAGAAGCAGTTATTCCAAAGTTAGGACATATAGTTAAAGACTTTAATCCCCTCCACAGAGTTAATCATGTAAACCCAGACTATGTAATTCTGGTTGAAATTATAGGTAAATTATGTTGTATGAGTGTTGTGAAAGATTTCTTTAAATTTAAAAAATATAATTTGATTGAAGTTAGTAAAATCAAAGCTATTGCTACTGCAGACAAAACCAACAAATCAAACACAGAAGGTGATCCGCCATGTGCTGAAAATGAAGAAGAAGTTGCAAAAACATCTGATGACTCAAAAACAGTTAAGGATGAAGGTCCAGATGTTTGTAATCCCACAGAGACTTGTTCTACTCTCGAAGAAACAGCAAAACTTGAAACAAACGATACGCTTAACATTGAAAACCTTGAAACTTATCCTGAAATAGAAGACTGCAATGCTGAAACAGCAAAACAAGAGGAAACTAGTTGTAAAAATCTGTCGAGAAAAAGAAAAGGAGAAAGTTTATCAAGGGAGAGTACTGTTGTCATGGAAAATGTAGGTAAGGGAGATTACCCAGATTTATTAAAAACCCATACTGTAGTCATGAAAGATTTGATAAGAAGTGAAACAGTTGTAATGGAGTCTTTACCCAAGTCTGAAACTATTATTATGAAAAGCATGGAAAGGAAAGAGAGTGTAATGGATGCATTGTCTAAAGGTGAAAGTGTTATGGACATGGGGACAACCAGTGAAAGTGTGATGGAAGTTTTAACTACGAAAGAAAGTGTAATGGACAGTTTTTAGTTACAAAATTTAGATTTGAATAAAACAAGTTACCTTGTCATTGACTTTGTTGTCTTACTCTGATCTGAGTTGGGATTGTAAAATTCAGACATAAATGATCTTTTATTGAAACACGTGTTTTGTCATTCAATCTATGTCAATAGATTTAGCAATTATTATTAAACTATGGTTCCAACTCACACAAGCAATGTAGATCTTTGGTAGATTTGGCTATTCTGTTTAGGTTTCTTTTAGTTTCTCAAGTATTCGAGTATTGATACATGTTATACATTCTTGGCTTTCAATTTTTGGGGTTTGAACTTTTCTGATGAAGGTAAATACAGAAAAGCACTTCAGACCCACCAAATTTATAAAGTGTTATTTTGTGGTTAAGATTAGGCATAATGGACAAGAAAGCTAAAAAAATCTCACTAATTAGAAGCATGTTTTTGTTACAACAGAGGCCACTCATCAATTTGTTAAAATATTTTGCAGGTTATCATTTCTAGATTTTTTGCTAGCTGTTGAAATTATAGTTGATGAGGTGAAACAGCTTTACTCAGGTGACTTAATCTTAGATCACATTGATTGGTTGTTGTTTGCTTAGAGCCCAGTGGCAAATAATTCATATGCATATTTAATGGAGAACAAATTAAAAATAATATTCTTTCTCTTATGGCTGTGGCCTGTTATCTTTTTCTTGCATGAAGAGATATATCTTGTATCACACTGCACAGAGTATGATACGAAAAAGTGATTCGAAAACTGTGTTTATTTGATTGGCTTATCCAGCATCATGAGACGATATTACAACATTTTCATTGGCTATTCGTTAGGTCATTTGATAACTTTCAAAGGTCAAGACCATGTACATTTTGTCCATGGCAACATATCTGATTTCTTCAATAATATACAAAACACTCACACTTTTCACCTGGAAATCTTCTATTTGTAAAATTTTATTACATTCTGAAGCGTACAAAAAGTTTTAAAATGTCTGATGTTGAAGTTTAACGCCGGAGAGGGACATATGACGTCATACAGGTACATGTACAAACAACTAGATCAACGATTCGCAGACTTTTAACTTTGACACAATAAGAGTGTTCACCATAGAGATATAGGTTTAACACAATAATTTTCACTTCTGTACTCGTTCTGTGAACAACAAATTTATTTATTTTGTAAAAAATATTTCCGTACTCCTAACAACAAAATTATTATATTTATATTTACCTGTGTACGTTATTTTATTTAACACCATTTTGTCCCAGGTTATAGTTGTCTTTCTGACATTGTTTTACATCTTTTTTTATTAATATTGTATTTATATTGTGTCACAGATCAAATTTATTCGTTCAATGTATGTTTACTTGTTTTTGTTTATATGTCTTTTTGATCGAGTTAAGCCATTTCAATTGTTATAATATAGTAATTATATTACTCGAGTTGATATCAAGCGATATCCAATTCTCACTCTTTATGAAACCTATAAATAGGTAGGTTTAGAAAGTGGGTTAACTGCCATAAAAAGTTGGAAATTTTTACTGCTACTGGGAAAGGAGGATATGCTTCCAAGAGTTATTGCAAGGAATTTTATCAAGCAGAGACTGTGTACTCACCCATTAGAAGTTGTGGGATTGAACATCCCCATCTAAATGGACATGACTGCATATATATACATTCTGCACAACTAAATCTACCACCTTACAACATTGGTTTTACTGCTAGGCAAGAGCTCTAAAAATGGTGTGCTGTTTAGGGTAATTCAACTTCAGACATGTATGCAACAGCACCACTACAGCTTACCTTTAAACAGTGCTTCACAGAATTGAGTAATATTAAGACGGTCCATCCTAAAATTTATGATTATTGATTATGGTGCTCATTTGAAATCCAAGATGACAAGTCTAATATTGAATCCTTTGGGAAACAACTTCTTGAAATTTATTTTTGATATTATGCATGAATAACATAAAAGTCCTACTTAAAATGTGTGATTTTTCTGCAGATCTGATATTTAAAGATGGCAGCTACAATAGATAAACTGTTGACACAGAGATATGTCTTACTATTTGTAATTTTGATAGTAAAATGCGAATGTTAAATATTAAAACATGTAAACTATGCTAAACATTCGAGGTCAATAAACCATGACTGAAGATGAATGGCCAAATAACCTCCATGGAAATGAGAAATGCCAATGCTAATATATCTGCATACCAAATATCATTGACCTACTTCTAATGGTTCTCCTTAAACCGACCTAATCACCAACTAATTCATGCTTCTGCTTCTGCAGTTGGGTGGCCGCCAAAATTTCTGATTATTCTGCCACTTAATGTCATGTCAACTAATCAAAACATTAGGTTGATAGACCAGGACTGAGGGGCTGGGCCAAATAATCTCCATGGAAATGAGATGTGTTAAAGCTAATATAACTGCATACCAAATACCATTGACATACCATAAGTGGTTTCCCATAAACTGACCTAATCACAATCTAATACATATAAACTAAGCAAAAGTTTCAAAGTCAATAGACCATGACTTAGAGTGAGGGGCTAAATAATTTCCATGGATATGAGAAGTGCCAATGCTAATACAACTGCATACCAAATATCTCGGACCTACCACTAGTGGTTCCCCATAAATTGACCTAATCACAAACTAATACATTGTTAAAGCCGCCGCTAGAAATAGTACCACTAAGTCTTGCTTTTTCAACTTCATCGAAGTGAGAAAAAAAAAGGTTAACACTGATCCCTAAGGAAAGCAAATTTATCAGATTGCCTTCATTTTGCAATGTACACATATCATTGTATGAAGCAAAGAAACAGATTGTGGTAATATTTTGATTGAAGTTATCTCCCTTTGTCCATAACTATAGATAGAACTGATAGATTCATACATCATGCTCTTCTTTTTGCAATCTGGGCCAATTTAACCAATTAAGGCCTGAACTGTTTAGAACATATAAGAAACCCTGTATCCATTCCTATGTAACTTAAACTGATTATGTTCGTCATTCAAGATAAAAGGTTTTCTGGGTGATTGCAAGAAGAGTGATCTTTCTAGCATCTTGTTAAGATATGGGTAGAGACAAAACAATGCTTTGAATTTTTAATATTTTATTGTTGTGATTAACCTGTACAATGAATGTGTTAAAATGATGAGCACTGTCAGTAGAAGGATGAACAGAGAATTGTAGCACCAAGGTCAAATAAGGTCATGACATTATTATGAAATACTACCAATAACAAACTGTTTACATATTTTACCTTTTCAGATCATTTCATGAGCTAATTTTTTACTTTATGAAAATAATTAGTTCTGTAGAGTTGACCAGGCAAGTAACTCCTATATATATGTTGTTGGAAATTTTAGAAGTTATTTTTGGATGTAACACTTCAAAAGGGTTTTTTTGTTGAAAATTTAAACAGGCTGATAGTCTATATAAATATTTTTTTTTCTTTAATAGTAATAAACTTAGTATGGGTTTCAATGTGCGTTTCATATAAATATTACACATTAATTACAACAGTCAATGATAAAAGTCAGTAACATGAGACCTGAGTAAACCAGTAGAAAACAACTATCTGTTATAAATTATAAAATTTGTGACACATAAAAATTGAATGAAAACATTTTATTAACCATAAAAAATAGGAAATAACAAATATCTTCAACTCCAGGATAATTTCTTATGCCCAAGACCAAATCAAATGGCAAAAGAGAAAAATACTGTTGTTAGCAAAAGCTGGAACAATTAAAAAATATTTAATCTGCCATTTTCTTAATTAAAATCCCCACCTTTTCAAATATAAAAAGAAAGCATACAAAATAAATATACTTTCTTCTTTGATTCAAATAGCTGATTGTGTAAAATTACTTGTCTAACCTTCACTTTTTGGTCACAAATATCTTTATTTGCATAAAAACTTCATATGGATTTCATGTAGCCCTTGTTCATCCACTTTATAGAAGCTTCACAATATACAAAACTTCTTGTCACTTTGAAACTTTGTAATTTCTACTGGTAAAAGTCCAATACTGACAACATATGTGATTTAACAGAACAGTGAGAGAAAAAATCTACTCTTATTAGTGAACTTCAAAAAACAATAATTTTATTTGAAAAAAAACACTACATATAAAATATCCCATTTTAAAAACAAATGTAAGACCAAAAACATTAATTTTGTCTTAGCTATTTATTTATTCAAGAATAATGAAAAATAAAACTACTTCAATTAAATGCATAGTAAAATGACTAAAATGATAAAATTCATATAAAATTGATTAATATAGAAAACTTTTTTTTTAATACAATAGTTTCTACTGAAAGGATTAAAAATCGCATTGAAACCTTGATACATTTATTTGCTAATTGCTTCTTTTATAAAATTGGTAAATTAAGAGTATTAATATCAAGGATAAAAACAATAAAAGCTGAATGCTAGCACTAACACATTCACAACAACCAGTTAATCTTGAAACAACATCATCTGTACATATAAAGGCACAAAACAGGGATCACAGTAGACACAGAAAACAAATCACAAAGGGGAGATAACATTTCTGTTTTTCAAAAGTTCTTTTGTAGACTATTTATTTACAACAAGATAGCTAATGTGTAATGACAGATTAATATGTAATGAATTTATTATTTAATCTGAGAACACTTTTGTTTGACTTTATAATTATGGCAAAAAATTTGTGATCCTCATTGGACAGTTGCTTTTTCAATTTTTCCAAGTTTGGCAATGTTTAGCATGAAAAATATTAATTCTTTTGATAATCCAATATTCTAAAATAAGTATCAAGAAAACTAAAATTGCCAGATTGCATTACTTATGAATTGTAATTTGTTCTGTCTTTTAATGATTAGGACACAGCTGGTAAACACAAATTAAATCAATTTGATCGGTCTTTGTGCATTCTGGTCAAAAATAAAATAAGAATTTAACATTAACAAAGGAATAAATGGTACTATCTTAGCACAATCTGTCAAGTGCATAGAGAATGATAGCTAAGTTAATAAGAGAATTCAAAATCTTGTGTTAGATGGGAAGACATAATCAATTAGATCATTTGTTTAAGCTCCTTCTCAACAGTGTAATCATTATTTTACAAAGAGTTTCACAAGTCTGATTAGAAGTGAGGAACTGACTATCATATTTTTTCAGTCTTGCAAGAGTTTCTGCTATAAAGATATCAAGAACTATAATTTTCATGAAACATCAAAATGACAGAAATGACATTTTCTGGATTTCTTTTTAAGCCGTGACAATTTGAAAATAAAGTTACTCTATGGTTGCTTAATATCTGGGTTACATAAGTTGAAAACTGCAAATAAAAGTATTTATGTATTGATAGACAGCATTTATTAAACAAATTTTTAAAGATATTCTAATTTAAGGATCAACAGAGAAATTAGAAAGTTAACAGTATGGAAATAATCTTGAAAACAGTGCTTAAGGACTTCCTTGACCATTCCAAAATCTATTTACCAAACGAAATCTAGAATAACGGCAAAGCCTTTTTATTTTGAGCAATGAATTATCAACAAAGGAGAGCGTCATGAGTTTGGTCTAGAAAAACACACAATAGAAAATCATTTACATAGTTTAAAAAAAACTGACCATTATATGATACGAAAATAATGTTACTTCTATTTACATCATGATATGTTAAACTTGTTTGTGTCAATATAAATATGCCCATACTTTATACAAATCTATACAAACATCACATTATAATCATACACATATACACACACTCTCTACACATACACACCTCAGTTTCACATATACACATTAAAACATAGCCTATCCATCATGCAGACCATCTCTCTCTATAGTGAGACCCAACTATTCATAAATATCCTACTGTTATTTACTATCAATGTTTTAAATATATTTCACAACAAATATGATAATATTGCTTAAATAATCTAAAAAGTCAGACTTGCTGAATTGGGTTGAACAATTAAAAAGGTTAAATAATAAATTTACAATTTTAATTTTTTTTTGTAAGAAGTGTCATTACAGCTATATACCAGTAATGATGTAAAACACATACAAACCCCAAAAAACCAGAATTAAGGTATTAAAATTTATAGTTTTTATAATTAATCAAAAATTTGTTCTGGTTAATAACAGCATGCAACTGACATTAAAACAACTAAAATGATAAAATAAATTTCAACTGAGGACAATGCCAATGCTTTGTTTATGGAAAAATAATGATAATAAACAGATACCAATTCTAGGTTCATACAAAAGAATTGTACATATAATTCACGTTAACACTATATAACCTTTGAGATATTAACGAGGTTAACAAATGTATGGAGTGATATCATTTCATTTTAAGGTGTCCAAATTCATGAAAAAGTTCTTATAACTCAATCTTTAAATTTTAACTTGTTGGTCCAATGTAAAATATATAAATAATTAATTTTTGAGTCAACTCTTTTCCAGCTTTAATTTTTTGTACCTTATCATAAAACTGGCATTTTTCTTAAGGTTTTTTTTCTGTGCTCAACAAGTTTCATTTAACTTTAACATATTACCATCATATCATTCACATTTTTTAAGATTTTTTTTTCTATGTAACTTTTTGGTTTGTTTTTTTGTCGTAAGTATATCAATACTCAACATATATCAAAACAACTGCATTTAACATCACAGTGCCAAAACAATAAATTGAAGATGAGATTCAAAGGTGAAATTATGATAAGGCCAAATTTTTAGGCCCTTTGAACTTCCCTAAATATTACACTGACATTTAACAGGTATAATACTATACTTTTTTTATTTGCTCTAGACCTTAAAACTTCTTGCATTTATGTCTTCTTAGGCCACCCTTTACAAGTTCTTTGTTTAATGTTGCCTACCCATGCCTTGTAGGGTTGGGTAGGTAGGTAGAGATTTAATTTTTTATTTTGGCCAACAACATAAGTTACATGTTTTAGACAAATAAACAACTTTAGAGCATGAAAAAAAACTTTAAAAAATTTGAAATGTTTTGTGTCATAAGTTTTTTGGGTAGGCTGCTTTTTAGGTGGGTAGGTAGTCAACATCAAACAATTTAAATTCTATTTTTGGCCTTATAGAAAATCTGCAAATACTTCAAAAATTGTTTCATTCTGAGATCTACCCATTTACATTCAGTTATCAGCAACAGCCTTGCCCAAATAAGAAATTTTTGCCACAAGATGTCTTACAATAAGATAATGATGCGAGTCAATATTCTTTTGGGGAAAGCTTTGCTCAGTGAATTAAAAAGCTGGTAGAATGACTTCACAAATTCTATGTATAATTCATTGACTGATCACATGCAGAAAACTCAAGTAATACATATAACAGTTATATTAAATTTACTAAAAACTAGGTGTAAAGTTGCCATTTTTTTGGTCAGATGACATCTCAAATGTCATTTTTGCAATAAAATTACCAGACTTTATCCCCCTATTCATTTATCAATAAGATTTTTAAAATTTCAAAGATAAAATTTTTCCTATTTCTGTGATTTCATGGACCAAAAAATGGCTCTTGTCACATCCCCTTCTTCGCAACAAAGAAGAGATTGTTGACCAAACCATATCACGAGATTTAAATTTTCAAACAATTTCGCAAAATCTGAAAAATATTTTTTGACTATATATAAGTATGTTTGACACTATTAATACATGCAGGTTTTGATCATACATATTCATTCCAAAATATTTTGATTTTACAAACCTGAATGCAATGAATTGCGTTATAAAACAATGATTTCATTATCCTTTTAAAAATTTCTTTTCGACAACTAAACATATAAAAGAATGGATTTTTATACATGAAAAGGAGAAAATACTTAAAATAGAAATACAGAGTAACCTAAAAATCTACTCAAATAATATAAACAGTACATATGATTGATTTCTTAATAAACAAAAAAAAATTTAATTCCATTCAGGATTCTTATGACATAGGTATTCCATAGTGCTGGTCTAATTGCTCTTTCGTGCAATTGTTCTGGTCTTTTCTTTTAAATTAATCATTTATATCCTTCCACAACAGCATACAATTTTTCCATCTGAATTCCACTCATAACGAAATGCACAATACAAATCACTCAACAGCAAATCCACATGTCTCATCTACAGCACAAGTCAATTTTGATAACAATTTTTCATATGATTCATATGGAGGGATGTCTATTCGATTGAAACTGAAATAGAAAGAACAAATACATTCAGAAATCTCAGTAGTATTAGAAAACTAGATATCATTGAGATGGGAGCCATCTCTGTGGGCCCCGCTGTGAATAATGTGTGGTAAAAAATTTATATCTTTATCATTGGACATGGGGTTGTCAACTGAAACCGAAGTTTATGACCTTGACCTTTGACCTAGGAAGTTGTACATAAATTATGACGCACCCTCTGGTATTGGTTAATATACATGTCAAGTATAAACTTTGAAATCATAACGGTTCTCAAGATATAGAGCAGACACGATCTTTACCATAGGACATGGGGTTGTCAACTAAAACCAAATTTTTTTACCTTGACCTTTGACCTAGGAAGTTGTTCATACATTATGACACACCCTCTGGTGTTGGTTAATATACATGTCAAGTATAAAATTTGAAATCATAAGGGTTCTCCAGATATAGAGCGGACACAATTTGTTAAGGACGGACGGACAGACTGATCACTATAGGGCGTCCGCCATTCGGCGGGGCCCTAATTAATTCTATTAAGATGTTTGCAATTAGATTCTTAATTTAACTTTGTGCAATCTTTAACTCTGAAATTTGATTGGTTTTTACAAATCCTTTGGCTCTTAATGGGATTAGATTGTAATGGACTGAACAATTATAATCTGTTACATGATACCAACATTCCAAGTACAAATTCTGCTTTGGTTTGCAATTAATATGATATTTTATGGTTTCTTTGTATAACCAAGATGCTGTTTTCTTAATAATTACCCCATATCTTTTTTCATTTCCTTGTTATTTCAGTTCACCTTTTCATAGTGTGTATCAATACCTTCTAACAATATAATGATTATTCTTTAGAAAAAATCTTTGTAGGAATCCATGTTAACTTTGTATAAACTTTTAATGAAACTTGTCCCCAATGATCAGAAAACATGTTTATATTACTTTTTTTGTAAATTAAGCTTTTCTTCACATATCCATATCCTTTGTAAAATGTTATATAATAAAAATTGAAACATTAATGCCTTTATCAAACACCTGGCAAATTTATTATATAATTTTTGACCTATGACTTAACCACACTACATGTTTGTACCTACCATGTATGAGCTTTAGGCAAGTTGTCTGTATTTGTATCTACTAAATGTATTGTAAATAGTCTCGGGCCAGCAGCACCTGTTGAGCCTGCAAAATAACATCAAATTTAATATAAAAGCATGGGATTCATAAGCTGATTGCAAAAATTGTTATTCAATCTCGAAATTCTAAACACTTGAGAATGTAGTTAATCTTAGAATTACCTCCCTTACACTAAGTATCCACAAGAACTTCAAAATATTTTTTTAGTTTTAACCTGATATTGCTATCCTCTGGACAGAAAGTATGTTTAAATCTCACAAAGAAAATAATTTTTCCAGCAACAAACCTTGAAGAGCTTTGAAGCCTTGTAATGGTACTCTTGAACTGCCTGTTACAAACTGTAATAGTCTGGCTCTCATTTCATCTGAGAAGCCATCAGAAGCCTTCCAGAACCACTTGACAATATTTGTATCTGGATTGCAGTGTTTTAACCTTGTGTGCTGTTTCCAATCATCTAAATCTATTTTACCAAGACCACCTATCATCAACTGCAATCAAATATTTATAATTACTAAAACTGTCAATTTAAACAAAAACAACTAAATGTACTTTATAATATAATTAAGTTGAGTACTGTTACATTTGCATTTAATTACATAAAAGTCGGGGATCATTCCCATGGGCAACTAGGGCAAAGAAGTTGCTTTCGTGTCTGTCAATTCACTTTTCCAGTCTGCCAAAAGCAATACCATGTCACCCTGGTTTTCAGCAGTTGCTCTTGTCAGTAATTTCCAGTTTTGATGTATGGCAATTTTTTATTTAAAAGTCAAGAAATCAAAAATGGAGATGATTAATTACTGAGGAAAGAAGTGATATAAATGACATTGTAGACTTATATTCTTACAAAGAAACAACATTTTTTGCAAACCAAGTGTAATTTTTTTTTCTCATTGTTGTATACATCAAATGATTCTGATTTTCTTTATTCAGAAACAATGAATATCTATAAACAGAAAAGCTTTCTTTATTGAATTTGAATTGATAATAGTTATTTCTTTTCTTTCCTTTGCGACATAGTTAGATGATAGTAGATGACGACCGAAATAGTGTAGACAAAAAATAACAAGCATTCTGTGAGTAATGCATTTTGTACTGACCAAAATAAGACTGAATTAAGTGGAGGCATTTATTTCAAAATTTCAAAAAGAGAAGTCACTTCTCCCTATAATTCTGAAGTAGTGTGAGTCTTGAAAAGTAATAAGTACTTCCCCATCTTGATCACTGAAACTACCAATAAAAACCAAAACAATAATATAAATATATAGATATTTACAACTGACTATGATAGCAAGGTGTGTACAAAAAGCTTACTGGTATAACTAGTCATTTAATTTCTTTCTTCAATTTATTATTAACCTTTTAATTGTATATTATCTTTTTAACTCTTTAAGTACATACTGCTTTAACCTATCTAACCAATTTTAACTTACAAATAAGTAATACTACTGAACCAACATAAATTAAATAAATACCTCTAATTCTCTCTCATCAAAAGGTCTCAGCATATGTTGTGGAATGATCTCGTTAAAACCTTTTTGTAGAGCTAAGAACTGTGCCTCAATCCCTCGCATGAATCTCCACTGCACATATAACCTACAGCACAAAATTAATTGATAAGAGAAATGTAAACAAACAATTTTGTGTATTGTAAACTGTTTATTTAACACATGTATGGTCTTGAAAACAAAGAGAATGTATTGAATATGTAAATATGTAAATGTATGACAGGAACAGCTATGCTAAATTTGTTAGAAATCCAGGAAAAAAGGAGGGTCAAAGTAACGATTGCCATTTTAATTTTTTTTAATTTCATATTTAACTGTTTACCTTCCTAAGGATTATGGTTTTCCTATCAAAGGTCAGTGGTTCTCTCAGACTTCCTCCACCAATAAAAACTGACCACCATGAAATAGCTCAATAGTGTTGAAAGTGGCGTTAAACACCAATCAATCAATCGATCCTAAGGATTATGTGCGATGGTTTGTAAATCTCAAAAGTATTTGTTGTTGTAAAGTTTTCCTTTTAAACATTAGCATTTTATTATGCAAGTTGATCTTAAGCAATAGTGAATCATCTTTGCAGTAAAAATATGTCCCTTGTTAATTATTCATTCACTATGACATTGTTGAAAATAATCTATCGTAACTATCAATGATGTTAATTAGTAGCATTGCTATCTCTTTCCTGTTTAACCTACATCTACTTTAACAAGTTGTCCTGAATATGCATGGAATATTTGCCACTGAATATAAAACACAAAACAATCAATGAAAAGTTCACATATTAAATGGAGAAACATTTTTAAATCTATAGTAAAATCATCAAATCTATAATATACCGGACATATTCTTTTTTGTTTTCTTCTGTCACTTTGATATCATTGCCTCCCGGTTTAAGTTCATATTGTGTAACCTGACCAAAAGAACTATGTTCCACTGAGAATGTATGGTCCAATACTGATTCTATATCATTTTCTCTGAAATATGAGGAGAATAAATCAGTTAATCCTAAAAGTGAAAAATTCATATTAAAATCCCTGGTAACTTATTAAATTTTTTTTAAATAATGTTCTTTCTTTCGAAAGAAAAAAGTGCTGTAGACCTGCGAGCTCTTTTATGAAAAAATCTTTTGATTCCATATGGTTAAAAAGAAAATAATAAAATAAATAAATAATTCTATGTTATCTTTTCACTACAAACTACAAGAATCTACATCAAAATTGTTCAGGATGTTATGCAAATCTATTTTTTCTACACATAAGAATAACTTTTGTATTTCTAGATTAAAAAATGTGTAAGGGTTCAGCGGAACCCAAGTGTCTCGCCTACTTTTGCTGTTAATCGCAGGCTCATCAAAAATGAGGAAAAAAATTAATACAAATATTCCTCTCTATACTATCTTTTGATTGTAAGAAGCTTCTGTCCAAGTTTGGTAAAAATACAGGATAGTTTATGAATCTAATAAATGTTTTAAAAACTTAAACTGCATGTTAACTGGAAGAAAAACTGCATATTAACTGGAAGAAAAACTAAGTCCATTTATAAGTAAAATACGGAAAAAATGGAACAAAATTTTAACAAAATTTCCTTCTAGATACTAGTTTTTAATCATAAACAAGCTTATGTCCAAGTTTGGTAAAAATCCAGGATAGTTTAAGAAAGTTGTTAAAAACTTTAACCACAGAGTGAATGTAATGTTAACTGGCAGAAAAACTAAGTCCATTTATAAGTAAAATACAGAAAAAATGGAATTTTTTTTTTACAAAATTTTCTTCTGGATACTATCTTATGATCATAAACAAGCTTCTTTCCAAGTTTGGTAGAAATCCAGGATAGTTTAAGAAAGTTATTAAAATTTCAAAAACCTTAACCACAGAGTGAATGTAATGTTTCCTGGCCGAAAAACTAAGTCCATTTATAAGTAAAATACGGAAAAAATGGAATTTTTTTTTTTTACAAAATTTACTTTTGAATATTATCTTATGATCATAAACAAGCTTCTGTCTAAGTTTGGTAGAAATCCAGGATAGTTTAAGAAAGTTATTAAAATTTCAAAAACTTTAACCACAGAGTGAATATTTGTGGACACCGACGACGACGGAATGTAGGATCGCTATGTCTCGCTTTTTCGACAAAAGTCGAAGGCTCGACAAAAACCTCAATAACCAGTCAAGGCTTTATTAATTAGGTAAGAATACTTTAAATAAATATAAAGAATAAAGTCAAAACTTACAATAACCAGACTAGACTTCTATGAAGTTCAGGATCAACATCTTCTAAATCATTTAACTGAACAGTTTTACCTAGCAGATGTTTATAGAAAGGCATAGTAAATCCTCCATCTAAATAATGTCCATGAAATATGGCTACGCCAATAATACGACCAACGAAATGAAAGTATGACAAATGTTCCTAAAACAATATAAAAATTCAATTATTACATGACATACGGTATACATCTATTATGAAATTTTTTTATTCAAATTGTTCCTGATTGAGATTTTTTCATAGCTATACTACATATTGAACCTTCCTTATATGCAAAGTCATGGCTTAGGTAACTCCATCAAAACATGAAAGGTGCCAAGGTTATACTTTTTAATTGCTGCTATGAATGGTCCTATATATAAAAGATTTTCTGCACAAAAATAAACACAAATGCATTTTTCTAAACTCTGAAAGTGAATTTTCTGGGTGCCTTTTATGCTTTCACTATTAAACGTTACCTAATCTTTTTTATTGAAGCAGCTTTTGTTGTCACTCCAATCCTTTTTGCACAGAGGGAACAACAATACTTAGTGTGTTAATAAGTATTTACTGTATCGTAGTGAATGTAAGTGCTTTTAGGTCCACTTTAACAATCTTTACGTAATTTGTTCACTAATCACATGCAAGTAGCATATCTAACTTCAACTAATCTAGCATATGCCCACACTCAGAAACCTCTTGTTTGAAGTACCTGGTTTTTGATTTATTGATGTAGAACTTTCAGAGATACTGATGATAAACAGTGCAATAAAAGCATTGTTCTAATAGTATATTAGTATATTTAATGAAAGTATTTCATATAATTTTGCCAAAGTGCTAATTCCCAGAATATCTTTTTCCAGAATATTTTCTTCATGGTACCTTCAACTTTTTTTACAAGAATCATTTTACCAGCATTCCTACTGATACAAGCACATTAAGCAATACTGTCACTCCAAGGGAATTTTTTTACATTGCTGATTGCACTTTTTTTAAGTATTTATCCTTATTTTTTAAAACACACTGTGCCTATGAACTTACTGGCTTAACCCTAGAATCAGGGTTCATTTGTAATGTATAACTTGCTGGATTAACTCCAGAATAAGGGTTTATTTGTGAAAGGGATGATGTCAGCTTCCTAATTGTGAACTTTCCATTTCTATGTAGCAACATTCCAGCCCTGCATACAGAGTATATATCTCCCAGTTGATACAATATTCTAGGGCTTGTATTTCCTATCATGATTTCCTTGATAGAGGATCTGTTTCACAGATGATAGCGTACATGTTCCAATTGTCGTAATTACAATCCTGTTCCCCTTTCCCCGAATGTGACCTGCCAAATTAGACTTATTACTGGGTTTGTACTAACATGAGCAACACAACAGGTACCACATGTGGAGCAGGATCTGCTTACCCTTCCAGAGAACCTGAGATCACCCAAGTTTTTGGTGGGGTTTGTGCTGCTCAGTCTTTAGTTTTCTATGTTGTGTTTTGTGTACTGTTGTTTGTCTGTTGGTCTTTTTTCTTTTTTAGCCATGGTGTTGTCAGTTTATTTTTGACTTCTGAGTTTGAATGTCCCTTTGGTATCTTTTGCCTCTTTTGTAATGTATAACTTACTGGATTAACCCCAGAATCAGGGTTTATTTGTAATGTATAGATATCATCCCTGGCATACTGGAAAAGACCATAGTAGGGATTCAGCATTTCATGTGATAAAAGATATAACCATTCCCTGAAATAAAATTATGGATATTGTCAATTCATGTGATAACAGTATAACAATTCCCTAAAATAAAATATCAACATTATCAGTTCATGTGGTAACAGTATAACAATTCCCTAAAATAAAATATCAACATTATCATTTCATGTGGTAAAGTTGTGTAACAAAAATACGATTAATCCAATTCATGTAGATCTCTTTAATAGTATGTAAATAACAGTGAAAGTTATCTTTAATGAACACCTTCAGAGGTCAGAATGTTATTCAGATAACAGATGTATTCAGTACACATGTTTATATACAAAAGAATCTTCATTCTATACCCTGCAACTAGAGTTCAGTTCAGACATTTTTATATGTTAAAAGATGAAAAGATCAATTCTTAGGTTATCCTCCCTAGGTATATGTCTACATGTGATGGTTTTGTGGATTTTTTTAGTATTATATCAGTTTTATTTCATTTCCATGTCTGATGATTTTAAAATTATAATATTTGGTTTCAAGCACTGATTTAATTTTCAAACTGCATATGGTAAATCAGTCAAAAACTATCCTTTTGCTCACTGTTGATACCCCCCTTCTCTAAGTATTCAATAAACAAAAATTTAATCAGCAATAACTGTGAAAATTACATGGAATAGCATGGTCACATAGAGCTGGTTAACAAATCTCTGGAAGCTTGAATTTGTAGTTCCTAAGAAAATGTAACATCAATTTCTTGGGTTAGATGGACACACAGACAGACTGTCAAGAGTTAATCCAGTACACCCCTTTTGAGTTTTGTAATTTCGTAATACACTGGGTTAAGATAAATGTGCATCTCACTATGTCAATTTTTTATTCCTACTGGGAATGTGATTTTTTGTTTATTATACTGCAAGAAACAAGTCTTTTTTTAGGTATACTAACTAGTATTTTGACTTTTTTGTGTCTAATATATAATTTACATTTTCAAACTGGCCTTTTTAAGTTTAATCCTATTAAAAAAGCAAGTATTATTATCAAGTTACGTATTAAATCATCAGAGCAAAACATTTCATGTTTTCAAACTCCGATTTACTTTAAGATTATATAATAATGCAGACAATAACTAATACCTATATTATTATGTAATTATGACATATGTACTAATGTGCAGGGTCATGTGATATGACAACACCACAAATAAGTCCATGGATGTTTATGTTACTGTTATATGATACATGTCATTCATAATACACTGAATCAAAACAAAAACTTATACTTTTGACATTATAAAGTTATTTTTGTTCATTAAGTTATCATATGACAATGACAAGCACACACAAGCAACCAATTAAATTATTCTGGAAGACCACACATGCAATGTCAACTATCAAATGTTAACACTTCATATTGTGTATGATGTGAACTGATAGGGGCAGGTCTTAGTAGCTAGATGTATGTGTGCATGTGGAAGTAAAACACCTTTATTTGAAGACTTTTGTTACTTTTGGTCTATAAATTATTTATACCTTGCCACACCTCCATAATCTAAGCCTTCCTCTCCTTTGAATTTTACCATTAATCTTTTCCGCAAATCCTTGGCACGTAATTTCATTACTTGTCTATAGGAATCCTGAAAAAGAGAAAAATATATTTTTATATTCTCTGCGAAATTTATTACATTCATGCATAACACAGAAGCTATTGTCTCATTATCCAGAAATTAAAATTTTTAATATATTCAGTTGCTGAAATAAAATTTATGATATGAATTTCAATGGGCATTCTGGAATAGAATCTAGCTTCCATGCACTCAAAGAAAGACACAAGTGAGAAGTCAACTGAACCTCAATTTTTAGTAGTCATCCATGTATTGTTAAGATTGTGCATCCAAATATGGCTACAGTGTTAGTTAATATTTAAGGAGTAATATTTACTTATCAATAATCCTGTCAAAGCTGCATGGCACCTGTTAGAGGGTAACTTTGTAATTGAATCTACGGAAACCAAAAAGTTTATTTTTTCCAATTATTCAAAGGGCAAAATCATGGAAAATTGTCAAAACTGAACTCAACTTTGTTTGGTACCATTATGTTAAAACTATTAATTTAGTTATGGTTCACCTTACCTAGTTGATGACATGGAAATAGGGAGTGGGGTAATAAATAAATAATCAACAAAAGTTCTAATTCTCAACATGCAACCAAATTACTTTTCAAGGGTCATGGCCAAATATCATATCAAAATCTTCCAAAAAAAGAGTACTCCATGATATCAAAAGTTTGTCTCATCCCCAATTAGCTTGATCATTTCAAAAATTTTTGGTTAAGTTGTTATACACAAAATGCATTCAATTCCTTAAATCAAGCCATATGACTGTAGATCATTTACTAACGAAGATCTGAACTTGGAAGGAAGAAAACACAATCTAGGTCAGTGTGACCTACTTTTTGCAACCCTACACCAAGTTATACAATTGCGAGTCTGCGATATGAGCAATGAAGAAATACATGTAGGATGAAAAACTTTATCAAAGTCAATTAACCATGAAATATGTTTTCATGTGATCATTAGCCGATTTTGCTGTATGGTTACTAGTTCAGAGAAATGGCTGCAGACTTGCACATGCATGGGGACAACAGAAGGTATTTCAATAATGCCCCTCAACTTCACTATGCTAGTGTGGCGAACTAAAAATAGATAAGTTTGAACAGATAGTTTGCACAGATCAAAGAGGTCTATAACCTGACAGGTTTTTCAATTCCTGTTAATTAATTTATGATGACTTGATAGATAAATTGAAAAAGGATAGAGTATGTATTCCATCATTTGTGAGTGTCTAGACAGTCAATGATGAGGAAATCATTACACCTGCATAACTTATGGTGCAAAAAGATGGATTAGCACATCAGATCTATAGAAACCTGTAAACTATTAATTATGTCTGGCAACAAAAAAGAAAAATTACTGACATTTCTTATAAAGTGTCTGTGATGAGCAGAGCTTCCGATTACACTATAGTACTACAGATAATATTGTAATATCATTACTGGAACACAGCCAGTTCAATGTAATTAAGTAATCCAGAAAACAAACACACTCAAATTATACAAAACATATGGCTTATGAAGTGTAATATTTTTGTATTATTACATAATATTTCTTTCAGCTGTGATTTGATTTTTTTCAAGGAGTATTACACATGCTTTACAAACACTACACTTTTTCATGTTATAATTACAGACAAATGAGCATTCACTTAATCTCAAATTAAATATCACTGAACACATTAGCTTTATTTGAATACATCCATATTATTCCTTTTAAATTCATTCCATGTTAAAGTTTAATATATAGAAAATTTCTTTTAAATTTCAATAATTCTAATTGTGAAGATCCAGGTGGCTCAAAAACATCATTAAGAAACATGGAAATAGATAACAATAAACATTTCAACACCTGCCAGAATATTTTGTAACATCCATTCAAATAACTTATCCTTGTCAAACATTATCTTGTTATTAACTCTATATAAACAGTAATTAGTGAAACATAATTATGATCAGGATTTCATCATAAGGACATGTGTTTTCAATTATTACTACATTGTGAATATCCATTAAATCATCTAAATGTTTTATATGACAGGTTTGGTGCAAGAAGTAGGAATACAGTGTCATCCTAAATAATTACATTGTCACAATAAAGACCAATTTATTCTCAATAACAGTACATGTGTAAAGAAAATTATTTACAGACATCTAAGAATGTGAAACGAAGGGTTACACTTCACCTGCTTTCTCTCTAAAGAATTTAGGCACAAAAGAAACATCTGTTTATTGTTTTTTGGTTCTTAAAAAAAATACACGTAGAATCTTTTGTCATTTTAATACAAATTTGGATTGACCTAATTACTTAAATCCAGCACAACCCAAAAAATAGGTCAATGATTTTATATGGTAAGTTGCAACACAAAGTTTCTTAACTGAATTATATATGCAGATATAGTTTTGTATTAAAAAAAACGTAACAATTTTGGAGGATTTTTTATATTAGTTAAAGTATTGAATATCTCATAAAGTTCTAATGGCAGTAATATTGAATCAAAACTAGGTCAACAGGAATAAATCTGATATAGGGTTTGTAACTGGTAATTTTGTACATAATTCAATTCCAAATATCAGCATATCAAAACAGTAGATAATATAGAAGGTAAAATGTGTCACTGCAGTAACCAAATACATGTAGTAAATATTTTGATATAAATCTTCACTGGCAGTCTGGTATATTTTTTCATTTTATTGGAATATCCCATTTGTCAATCTTTGAAAGACCTACCTGATTTACTGTTGAAGTTTAATTTGTTCTTGTCTTGAATATGCATTAAATATTTTCATATTATAATAACAAAAGTCAATCATGAAAGTATAATTTATAAATGCTAATCAAAGGACCAAAACTTGCAAAAAATATCATGAGAACCTTTCATTACTTATGCAGGCAAGGAAGTACACCTTGGTAAAAAGATACTTTTATGTTTTTCATAAAATCTCAAATATATAACAAATCAATGAGAATTATATTTGTTGGGGCCAATATGAATCAAGGTAGCTGGAGCCTCTTGTTTTAACTGGTGCAGCAGTTGTCAAGACAAAGATTTTACTAAATAAATATCAACCATAGGCTTAACCGAAAATCAGAGTTCTCCAACTTTTTTTCCCCTGTGGTCCTTGAAGAAAATCTGCTGGTCTTCACTATATATAACTATTTCTATTGTAATATACAAAGAATTGTGTCAGTCCTTTGCATAATTTTGGCGGTCAGGACTTTCTGACCACAACTTTTCAAGAACTCTGGAAAATATGTTCACTGTATGCATTAGTAAACCCGAACCACAGTATAAATGGTCTATACAACAATCCTAAGGACAATTTGGTCTCATTCTCTATTGTAGTTCATAAAATGGGCCCAAAGTCTCATGACATTGGATATTAACTACTAGTATATATCAAATTTGTTTTGATATTGTCAAAGCAAAAGAAGTTTTAAAAGTATGTAAATTATAAATCAAAACACTTAATAATTGTGGTTAACTGCCGAATAAAACTTTAGCAACATGTAATGAATTTTAACCACATTATCACTTTCAGAAATCTGTAGCAAAACAGGTAAAAATGTAGACTTATGACAAAAACTCACAGACTTTCCATTTGAAAAATTCACTTAATATCAGTATGTGAAAAAGTCCACAGATATTTTTCTTACCTCAAATATTTCATCTCTCGAAACTTCCATCCTACAATGTCCTCCCTGAGGTTGCAAATTCTGTAGTTCTTGTCGTAAAATTTTCATTTTCTGGACAAGGTCCCTTTTATATTTAGGCACTGGTGATTCGTTCTCTTTGTCTTTCGACCTATTGGAACTACTGTAAAGAAAAAAATCACACCTATATTCAAACATGGTATTCAAAGAGTATGATATGATTTTCTTTCACTTGATATATTTTGAAATGAGCAAATGTTAAAAACTTTACTAAGCAATTTGGAAATTAATATAAATATGTGTTTTTTCATTAGAAACTATTTTTCAATTTATCTGTTACCACTGTTTGCATTTTAATCATTTAATTCTGGCTTATCATGGAAATAACAATCAAATGCATTTTCTAACATTCCTATAACAATTGTACTAAAAATTTGATAAGTAGCAGAGTACAGCAGATTTGTTGGTTGGAACATTGTATATTATGTACTTTTGATTAAATTCGAGGATTAACCATACAAAATCACTAGTGAGGACACTGACAGATTTTTAAATTCTCAATTACATAACAAAACTGTTCATTAAACCACATCAAAATTGCTGTATTTTTTTATTGAAAATTACTTTCAGTTATCTCCCTTAAGTCTATTTTCTGATTACTGTATATAGCCACCATGGCCTCTGAGTAACAGGGTCATAACAAAATATCAAACCAATACAAATCAAAATTTAAAAAAAATTGCTTTCCTATAGTGTAATTGAATTTCCAAACAGTCCTCATTAAGGTTATGTCAAGCTATATGTACTGAAGGATATCTAATAAAATCGTATGAATTTTCAAGGCTGTAACAAATATAATAAACATTAGGGACTCCCAAAATTTAACATTTTCTTCCAATAAGTGAACTTTTATATTACTTACGATTGGCCTCTATGCTGTAACAACCTTATATTGGCAGACAACCTTGGATCTGTAAACTGAGTGGTTCTACTATTATGGTCAACAAAATAAACTCTCCCATTGCCTGTATGTCTTACTTCCCAACCAGAAGGTAATCTACCCAGGTCTTCTTCACGAATCTCGTCATTTGACAAATCCCTAAAAACAATAGCAAAATAAAATATCGTCAAATTCTTAAATAGTAAATTTGCAAGGTAAAACAGCTGAATTCTGACAAGCTACAAGATCAAATTAGACTAAATAACTGAATTTCTTCAGAAGAATGAAAAATATTTTAGTTGTATATTTGTGATTTTATGATTGCCTGGAAAATACGCCTTTGCTCTTTAACTTCTCTTTTAAGTCATTCAGATTTAATTTAACAATATCTTATTGTAATAATCAAGCAATAGCATTGGACACAAGTTATTACAACTTCAGACACCATACATTACCATTACAATCAGATCTTGAAAAGATTTTTATAAGACCTAAAATGGGTACGTAAATAAAATACTAGATATACAAGGGGGAAAATTATTATTCACAACAAAAACTAAAACTATGTAGCTTCCCATATTTAGAAAACAGTAATTATATACTTTATGAAAATAATTAATTTGATGAGAACATACAAAAAAAATATTAGTTAATGTCCCCACTAATCAATTTTGTACTATAAGCACACATCTCATTCACCAACTCTGAGGAAGCACATCATCAATCTAATAAAAAGACAATCTAATTAACAAACCTTGGAACTCTGGGATCATGCCATGTGCTAACACCTGTTCTGGTGTGTAAAAAGTACACCTGACCTTGCTGTGTCGTTCTTTGTTCTGAAAAAAATTCAGGACAAAAATAAGCAACAATAAATCACACTCAGATTCTATAACCATTCGATCTCAATTAATGTGTACACAATAGGGTTTCTGTAAACGTTTTTCTTACCACTGGTACAAAATGAACCAAGATGGTATATACATATATGTGTCTCTCCCTTATAGTTTCTAACTTCCTGAAATACACTATACTTGGTAGTATATGGTTGAAAACTAACATATTAAATTAGTAAATACATGTGGCTATCTGTCTATACCAAGTCAGGAATATGACAGTTGTTTTCCATTCCTTTGATGTGTTTTAGCTTTTGATTTTGCCATTTGAATTTCTGTTTTGAATTTTCCTTGGAGTTCAGTACTTTTGTTACTTTACTTTTTCATCTATCAATATAACAGGGAGGTGTATACTAAAATTGACTGCAGTTTAGATAAAGCCTTCCAAACTGCTTCAAACAAGCTTTTCACATATCATAGTTACATGCCTACTAGGAGTGTCAATGACACCTCAGTAAACATTATTTGTACAAAGCTAATCCTTTGCTATTCTCAACAATTTCGAAAACTTAAATGCTTTTCTAATTTTATTGTACTGTAAATTCAGAAACTATTGTGTGTATTTATCATTGCAATTTTTGAAGAATGGAAAAAAAATGTGAGATCAATTATTGCGATTTCAGCAAAATCTGCATACAGATATATGTATCAGATATCAAAATGAGAGATCTTATTATTGCGATACTCAACCAGTCGCAATATCAACAATAATAAAAACTCAGCAATAATTTTTAAATTTAGTGGTGAGAAATCCCTGACAGTTCCTTTTCAACTACATCTTTCTTTATTAATATCTTAAATAGAAAACTTACCGTATCCATCTGGTAATGCCACAGCGTTATGTAATTGTGACCGATTGAGGTAATTTCTATGTCTTGTTGACCGTCGTCTCGGTAGCGGTGGTTCTTCATTATTATTACTTGAACTACTATTGTTATTATTTGACAATCTGTTTGAACTGGATTGGCTAGGTTGTGATGTGTTCACCATTATACTATTTCTCATGCATTCTGAGGCAGGTCTGAAAGAGTAAATTTATTAACTAATTATGCTTTATAGTGAAAGTATTTTCTTTCTAATTATATTATCTTTTTGCAATTCTAGCCGTTCATTGAAATATTGTAATAAATAATGATCTAAATTTTGAAACATTTGTAGTACTTTCCCCAAAGATTCATTTAAAAAAAATAATGAAGTTAAAATTTTAAGTAAGTTATTTGCAGTGCTCAGGACAATTTAATGCAATAATGAAAAGAAGAAAATTATTACAAACTTTGTATCCTGCTGAAACGTAGAGTTCCAGTATTTATACAACCAATAAACCACATGAAAATTAACAGATCACTAATCTAGACTTTTTTTTGTTTCCAATTCATTGTTTTCCTAGATAGCTTTTTTCAATTTGAAAAGTACAAACTATACAGCAAAGTACACTTAGGTTCGGGTAAAAGAAGTTGTGTTATCACTCTCAAGAGCATAACCCGCAGAGCCAATCAATTCAGATTTCATAATACATTTTAGGTTAAGACTTTTTTTCAATAGTTTTGCTGTTTATAAGAAATGTATATGATCCAGGGTGTTAGCTGGTTAAATATGTAACTTAAGTAAAATTGCTGTTAGACATGTACATGAAGTAAAATTCAGTAAGTTGTTCTAAGAAAAGAACAATTCAATTCCACCATTCCATATTTTTTTTAAAAAGTAACATAAATTTGAAAGTGAAAACTACTTGTTCCCGCGATTATTGTTTGTTTACTTCAAACAATCCTAAATTATCAGCTGATATTGTTCCTGAACCTCGGTCTTAAAAGGTGCAAGATATTGGAACTGATAATGTAAGCACCTGAATGTAGATTACATAGAATCTGTTAATTTGTTCAATCAACCAATTTCAAATTTGCATGTCTAGACCTCCTTTTAGAACTTTTCTATCATTTAAAAAGGCTATAATTTCAAATTTGGAGCTAAATGAATGAATAAAGTGTTTTTTATCACTCAATAAATATATCCCAAAAATAGAATTTAAAACCTAGATCAAACAGTGTTTCATTGTTTCAGTAATCGCTTTGTTCATTTAAACCAAGTAACTCGTGTCTACATATTTGGTACAAAACTCCAAAGAAAAGTGACTTGCAATTATTCTTTTTACCAGTTGAATAGATGAAGTTATGCTGTCCCCTACTGTTGAATAAAATATCTGATGAACTCAAATGAACCCATCTAATAAACCTCATTGATTACATTTCTTTCATGTACTTTGATGTTTTTTATGGTAAAAATCATAAAACTTGGGATAAAAATTTCAAAAGCAGAAATACTTGATTCAATTTGTCAAGAATAATTTATGCCTAAAGAACTACATCTATTTTAATATAGACTTCATTTTGTATTTTTAAAAAGAAAATTGTTTAACTTTGACCCTGTATAATTATCTGAAAGTAAGTTAAATAATAGTAAGAAAAAGGGAAACATTGTATGTCTTTACATCATACTTAATTTATTATTGTATAATCTTCAAGCCTATTCAAAATTCAACAGTATTTGAAGCATTGGTTAGAAGTTTAAAGTTTGTGGTTATGATCAAATTTTGGACATAAATACTTCATCCACTTAACTTACAAATTTTGTGGTAAATTTTTTTTTATCTGTGTGAAACTTTCAAGTACAAACCAGTTATTTGACCTACATGTAAAATTCTGTAAAACATGAGAAAAAAATTATCTTAGTACACATTTGCATTTAAAATACTGCACACGAAAAAAAAATTCAGGACCTATCTATTTATGTGACATAGACTTAAAAAAAATTGAGCATAAAACAATACCAATGGGTATGGAATGTATCAATACAATTACAAAATCGCAAAAATAAATCACCCCAAAGTTAACTAGAAAGGACTACATGTAAAAATGTAGTGGTTAAAAGTTGGTCACTTGGTTTACAGTCATATTATAAGTCTCTTTCAATGTACACCTCGGGATAGTACTTTACCTTGTTGGTCGCTCCCATTGTGTGGATCGTGTTATGTGATTGACATAATGTACTCGTCCACTTGCAGTTCTTCTCTCTTCCCATCTACAAAAGAAAGAGAAGGTAAAAGAAAAGAAAAACATTGTTTTCCAAATTGTATCTCAATGATCTCTTTTGTAAGAACTTTCTTATAAAAAAAAGTCAAGGAAATACCAAAACTATCGGCGTCTCTACCAAAACTTTGTATCACTATTGTATAATTTATATTATCCTTGGAATTAATTCACTTCATCTTTCTATTTCTAGTAAACTTACTGCTGGATTTGTAGGACTTTTTACTTGCACCAAGTAACAATAATTAAAAAACAAATCTGTATTCTCCCAGTCAGACAATTGGTCCAACATGCAGATGAGATCTTACATTGAAGATTTTCTCTATCTGTAACAGTTTTCAATATAATAGGCAAAAACTGGGGTACTTGCATTTTACCCCTATATCCTATTTTAAGCCTCAGATTTTGATGTGTAAACTGTTGTGTTTTTTTTCCCATGTTAACCAAATCATTTCTCATATTTGATCATATGCAAACTCTGTAATAACAAAATGACACAAATTCACTTTGCTCAAATAAAAACAGCTGATTGCAGGACCTTTCACTGATACTGAGGGAAAAAATGTAGACAACATTAATATTGGACAATATCAAAGGACAATTTTGATGAAATTTCTTCAAATTTAATAGAGTAATATTTAAATTGAATCAATTTCATTTTACAGAAGAGATTTAAATCCTGATAAAGACCGATTGACATTTAGTTTGCGTGCATACAAATTATGCTAAATTTTAAGTGCTGCAATAAAGTGCATTATACTGTTGGATAATAAACAATCTGCGGTGGTACATTCAGTAAACATTTATATGTCTAGCTACAGCGACCAAATAAACTTCATGTGACACATTTTTTTTCATGTTAAGGTGTGGGTGTACCATTAAGAGAGATAGTCATTACTTAAATGAATAATTTTTCTGCTGTTTTGGCAGGAATGTGTTAGATATCAAATTAAATGTGTAAGACATCTGCGAATCAGTATAACATAATATCAACTGAAAATTATACCAAGTCTCTAGTGAACAAATTCTGTGTCTGTTTTTTTATATGTAACAAAGAGAAGCTTCATATTTAACTTATAAAGAATATATTAACATCTGCTTAAAATGAAGAAATCTTTTGTCAACAGTTCAAAATATTGGCGTGTTATCTTGAATATTTAATTATGATATCATAATAGTGTTTATCTTAAGTTTCTTGCTATTTGTTAGATCTGAATTAATATTTGTAATTCATATTGAATTTCCCCATGATTATATACTACCAGTAGTAAAATATACCTGTTAACACACATATCCATCGGTGAAAGCACAGAAGAAAACAAAATCAAGCAATGAGGAAAATTGAATATTAGGTAAAGGAACATATCAGGGCAAATAATTTCAACATCAGGAAATCCTGGAAAATCTGGAAAATTTTCATGCATGCATATCTACTGAATATAATTTGTTTAAAATGGTATTAAGAAGTCTGCTTCATCAAAATTAAACTATTGTAGTACCATCAGCATGCACAGTTAGCTGGCAGATTTTTCTTGTGTTTTACATCAAAGATCAGTTCTTAAATTCTCTGCATCACAATAATTCAACTACTGTAAATCCAGAAATTATTGTGTGCATTTATTATTGCGATTTTTCAAGAATGGACAAAAATGCGAGTTTTATTATTGGGATTTAGAAAAAAAAGTGCATACAGGTCTAATTTCAGTTATCAGAATGCGAGTTATTATTAAGCGATACTCACCCAGTCGCATTATTCGCATTAATAAAAACCTCGCAATAATTTCTGAATTTACAGTACATTTAACAATAAATCTGAGAGAGAAACAATTTGTTCTGGGAAGATTGTGAAGCATACAGAAATAAATATCATACTATGAAAGTATCAAATTATGTGGGTTACCAGTTTTGAATTTCATGGTTCCCGCCAACCATACAATTCAGTACTCATCAAAATACATATTTTCATGCAAATGAGGAATATCAATTTCCATGAAGACAAATTCCATCACAACAAAAGCAGGTTACCCGGACCTATAATTAATGTTCTTTTACTTGGATTTTTTTCTGTCAAACATTTTCATAACTATAACTAATTAATTAAGGTTTTAATTTTGGAACTCTCAAAGATAATATCTGAGGATTTACCTGTTACTAATGGCAGGTAGTATAAGTACATTTGTAACTTCAGCCTAACTAGTATCAATATTTCCTCTTAATTTTAATGATGAAAATTTCTGGAATACCCTTTAAATGCACTGCAACTTTCTTCCAATGCCACTGGGCAAAAGGTATCTACAGCTATCAATTCATAACTACTATTATATACAAGTGTTTCTCTCCCTAATTTGTTTTGTCAATATCTTCCAAAAAACTCTCTTAACCACTGGTCATTTTAGAACGAACATAAAAATATCATACAAGGCATAACGTTAAAAACCTTGTAAACCAACCACAATAGCCTCTGACTATGACAAAACATAGGTTAGTTCTTGACAGAGACTGATGCAAAGTTATATGTCAATTAGATGAAATGGTTGTATGATCATGGTGAAGTGAAGATTTATTTTGTCAGATTAATTTACAGCTATTTCATTCAGGACAGTGAATGTGGTCAACAAACCAGCATTTTGACTACTAGTATTTATTATGAAACCTGCTACGTCAAAAATGTTCCTCAAAATTGTTTGCCTGTGAGTCAAACTGCATGACTGCTGTCAGCCATGTGTCCATTGGCAAATATTTCATGTATAGATAGTACAGGAATTCTCCTAGGAGAATGTTACTGATATTACTTTATGGAAAACCTATGCAGTCAAATGCAGGCCATTTATCCAAAGGTATTATCATAAAATTTTCCTGCTTAGTGCCAGGCGAAATTCATGTTATGAGGATCAAGATTGGTTATAAAACAGCAAAACTTTCATATTAGCTTGTTTTCATTTCATAAATAAGCAACAGAAAGTGTCAATATATTTCCCTTTAAAAAAAAAAAACCACAGGAATATTATTTTTTTCTATTAACAGGTGTTGTCTTATCCTTTAAAACGAAATATACAAATTGGATTTGGGTTATGAAATGTCAAATACAAGACTCGTAAGTAGGAAAACTAATTGTTTTATGTACTAACAAACATGACATGTCGTAGGTGTAAAACTCCAAACTTTCCCTCCCTTACCCATTAGTATTACAAAGACGTAAATAAATCTGGGATAATATCAATAATATTTACACATGAACTACTTAAAACAAAACAAATACAAGTAATGAGAAATGATGTGTCTTTGAAGTTTTTGCCTGCAGCAGGGTGGATATGTTTGATAAATTCACTGTCAGCAAAAACTTTATCTGGTCTTAAATCTATCCTACTTTTCTAGTCCAACAGTATAATAATATATTTATCTATATTTAAAATCTGAATTTGACAAATATCTCTAGATGATTATCAAATGGGAGGTGTCACAGCTTTTCCATTTTAGCATGAACAACATATGTAGTTTTAATTTACAGTGTTACTGGGAATGCGTTACTATGTTTACTTTGATATATTACAACAAAATATCATAATTTGTATTCAAAATTCAGAACAAGATAATAATTTTATGGACTTCTATTGACTTTTACTGCTTTACATGTAATTAAACTTTTCATCCAATTAATTATAAACACAATTAAAAATTCAATCTTAATCTTGAATTTTTTTTCTTTTTTATTCTATTAACTGCTCTGCTAAGGCCACATCAATTTAATTCCTAGTTATTTCAATTAATTTTGTTTAAATTCTAATTTTTACCTTTACCTCTATTTTTGAACCCTCTCCTTGGTTTTTCAAAGCAAGAAAATAAATACAGATGATATTAATTATGACGAACTTTTTTCAATTTCATCTGAGATAATGAGGTCTAGGACTCAAGGACAATACAATAATACTTAAACACAGATATGCTGTAAGTAACAACCTAATGAACTAGTTTAAAGACACACCAAATAATGCATTCATTAACAACTAATGATTTTTTTTATGTCTTCTTAGGCCACCCTTAACAAGTTCTTTGTTTGATGTTGCCTACCCATGCCTTGTAGGGTTGAGTAGGTTGGTAGGGATTTAATTTAATTTTTTACCAATAACATAAGTTACATATTTTAGACAAGAAAATAACGTTCGAGCACGAAAAAAACTTTAAAAACAAAATTTTAAACAATTTATGTCATAAAATTTTTTGGGTAGGCTGCTTTTAAGGTGGGTAGGTATTTGAAACAATTTATGTCATAAAAATTTTCGAGTAGGCAGCTTTTTAGGTGGGTAGGTAGGCAACATCTAACATTCTAATTTTATTTTTGGCCTTAGCTTACATATAACTGAAAAGACATCATGCTACCTACATCAAAATTCTTATTTACAACTTGTATTCACATAAAATTAGAATTCCAAACCATTTTACCCATAAATAGTTCATATGGGGGATATCTCAACATTATTTTAAAAAGTGCAATCAAAGCAGTGATATAAGCTATTTAGAGAAAGGCAGGAAAGCAAGTGACAATTTCTAGTTCTGAACGGAAAGATTCAAATGAAACCTTAATCCAAAGATCAATATAATAATACTGAAAATGGACTTCTTGAAACAGAAAATGTCAAAGCTAGATATGATTCTATATCAAACATTTTAAATAAGTGCAATATTACTACACTTACCCATCTGGTAATTCATTTGGATCACTGGGAATTGATGGAGGTATTCCTGAGGCATCAGTATTGACTGGACCAGAGCCTGATCCACCTCTGTCCCTGGAAATCAAGCTAATGACAATCTGTCCACGAACATTGTCATTATCATCACTGTTATTTCTCTGAAGGTCCAAACGTTGAACTGTAACAGAAATACTTGGTCTTCTATTATTTGGATTTGCACTCCTAATAGGCATAGAAACACACACAGACATTGAAATAATACAATTTCTAGTTTTGTAGAAGTGTTATTTGCAAATAAAATACTTATCCAAAGTACATAAAAATGTCACCAGAATTATTTTATAAAAATTCCATATTTCACTTATATGTTTATATTATTTTTCATGTTGTTTTTTTTTCAGCTGTGGCAGTTCATTGAATGTGAATATTTTTGTCCTTTATATCACATTAATGTCAACATGGTATATGACATGAAGTTTAAAACACTCCCCCTGTCAAACATCTTGTTTAATCCATTTTACCTACAACAAAGTACAAACTGGTCCATTCCATTAAGTAGTCAGGGGATACAGAACACAAAAGTAAGCTATGTCAGTATATCTATTGTACAGTATGTATATACTGCTTTAAAATTACCAATATAATTTCTTAATCTTTAGATGGAGAAAAATTATTTGGATCAAGCGATAAAAATCTTTATATTTTGACAACTTTGCCAAATTTGTGCCCTTAATCTGTCAGGATTAGCAGCAGAAGCTGTAACCCTGTCTGGTGAATCTTTTGTATGCATAAAGTAATATAAAGGTGACCTTTTTATTCAAGGGCAATAAGTACTCCCAAAGAAATTGATTTTCTAAAATATATGTTAAAATGTCATAAAATTAACATATTTAAATTTTAAATAGAATATTTTAATGTTTCACTGTAGAGAATTTCTGTTGGGAACTTTCCCCCTTTTAGGACCTTCAGTTGCATAAATTGATCTACTAGTATATGAATATAAGTCATAACACACATGGTTTACATAATAATATTTACAAATGCTTCCCTGATCAAAGAACACAGCACACCCCAACCATGACTTACATAATAAAGCTTTCCTTGACATTTTATCTATCAGGGTTTTTTTTATCAGATATATTCACTAACTGAAGATAGGTATTTCTATTTATTTAAGGAAATGAATGCTGTGAAAACTACTTGAGAGAGCAGGTACGTAAATGGTCGAGCAGATTTTTATAAAAAATTGCATGCAACAAGAGCATAATGAACAACATATGAAAATAGAATAAATTGCTTCGCCGAGCGCAGCTGGATACGACCGCAGAGGTCCAACCCTGAACAGTTGGGGCAAAAATGGACACAATATTCGCGCTTGATACAGGTCTGAATTTGGATTGTAATTAAATATTTGACACATAATAGGTTTCTGTCACAGAATAACTGTAGTCAAAGAATTTATATTTAATTTTTTGCTTTTGTGCAATACACTATGCTGTTGCGAATTGACTGTTAGGACCATAACCCCCAAAATCAATCCCAACCTTCCTTTTCTGGTTATAAACCTTGTGTTTAAATTTCATAGATTTCTATTTACATTTACTAAAGTTATTGTCCGGAACCAAATGTCTTCGGCCTAAGCTGACGACGACGTGATACCAGTATACGACCGCAAATTTTTTTGCGGTCGCATAAAAAATGATATATGTAACTGGTAATACTTTCCAAGATAGAGCAAATAAATTTCCTGAAAATTGAAGTACAAAAAAATATTATATTATATATATATATATGTTATTGCTACTAAAAGTTCTGTTTTACCAATATCAATTTTATAGGGTCACCAGAATCCTTCCTTTAAATATAAATAGTTGAATCTGATGCACCAAATGAAAAAAAGTGCCAAAAAGTCAAACATATTAATTAAGCGTGACGTTGTGCATTGAAACATTCGTTTTACAGCATGTTCTTTTTAAAATATAACGTGTAAACCACTTAAATAGCAAAAAAGAATTCTGTGAACCCTTAAAAATTTTATATCAATAAAATGGAAATTTTTGTGGCAAAAACATATCTTTTTGTTTTATTCCTTGGACAGGTATTTGAGATTTTTCTAAATTGATCATTATTCAATGTAATTGCGATATTTACATGCATCCTATACACTTGTACTTCAATTTTCTGGATATCTAATTTGCTATTTCTCAGAATGTATTACAGTTACATATTTTTTTCAATATTCAAATGTAGTTCCACATGTTCTAGCTGCTTGCTAAAAATCTATAAAGGGTTCAGGTTTGTCTCCCTTGCATTGCTGCTGACAGTATATGTTATTCAGGATCTTCACAGGGGATATGTATGGTGGCCAGAAGCGTCCATTTCGCGTTTTCGCATTTTCTCCTTGCACTTTCACGCGAAATCGAGAAATTGAGAAATCAAGATAGAGAAATCAGGAAATAGAGAAATCAAGAAAGAGAAAACAAGAAAACGGAAAATATATTTCTCAATTTCAAGTTTTCCCTTTCTCGATTTCGTGTTTGCAAAGTCAACGGAGAAAACACGAAAACATGAATAGGCGAAATGACTGCATCCTGCCACCATAGATATGGGCTATTATTACATTGGTTGCAATGAATTACCGTGATTTCCCAGTGAAACCAGATGCTCTGCAGGGAGCAGCTTGATACGACCGCAGAGGTCGAACCCTGAACAGTCGGGGCAAGTATGGACACAACATTCAAGCTTGATACAGCTCTGAATTTGGATTGAGATTAAATAGTTGACACAAAACAGGTTTCTGACACAGAATGAATGTGGTCTAAGAACTTAAAAAATTTAAAATGGACATTCACCTATTATGGTCCAATATCCAAAATCTACATACATGGTTAGATTCAGCATATCAAAGAACCCCAAGAATTCAATTTTTGATGAAATCAAATAAAGTTCAATTTTGGACCCTTTAGAACTCAATGTGGACCAATTTGATAAAGGGGCCCAAATATCAAAAATCTAAATACATGTTTAGATTCAGCATATCAAAGAACCCCAAGAATTCAATTTTTGTTAAAATCAAACTAAGTTTAATTTTGGACCCTTTGGACCTTAATGTAGACCAATTTGAAAACGGGACCAAAAATTAAGAATCTAAATACACGGTTAGATTCAGCATATCAAAGAACTGCAATAATTCAATTTTTGATGAAATCAAACAAAGTTTAATTTTGGACCCTTTTGGCCCCTAATTCATAAACTGTTGGGACCAAAACTCCCAAAATCAATCCCAACCTTCCTTTTGTGGTCAAAGACCTTGTGTTTAAATTTCTTAGATTTCTATTTACTTATACTAATGTTATTGTGCGAAAACCAAGAAAAATGCTTATTTGTGCCCCTTTTTGGCCCCTAATTCCTAAACTGTTGGGACCTAAACCCCCAAAATCAATCCTAACCTTTCTTTTGTGGTTATAAACCTTGTGTTAAAATTTTATTGATTTCTATTTACTTATACTAAAGTTATTATCCGGAAATCACCCATCTTCGGATGACGCTGACGACGACAACGACGATGTGATACCAATATACGACCAAAAATTTTTTAACTTTTGCAGTCGTATAATAAAAACCGATAATTTCACATGTGAAATAAACTTGGTTATTTCACTCCTCTGATGTCAAACAACAAAATTTGTTGTCAAAATGTTGTTGATGACGTCGCATCAAAGCAAATTGTGAATGCGTAGAAAAGATATAGTTCCTTACATTTTCTACTTAAATTCCATTAAAAAGTTTGTTGTCAATGTAATAAAATGAATCACTAATGAACACCGATATTTAACTCATGCGCTACGCACTTTTGTGAATTAATGTGTTGTTCGGTCACTCGTTGAATATTTTTCTATATTTGAATTCTTCGATTAGTTATTCTATAATTATTCCCTGTCAGTGTTTTATATCTCCTTAGCTACCATGGCAGGCAAAGGAGATATAGGGCACTAACAGGGAATATGAGCCAATATCATTTAATCAATCAAATTGCAGGATTGACCGGGATATTTCACGCCAGTATAATATTGTAATAATATTTACTGCCAAAAACTAAGTCCATTTATCTGTAAAATATGTCAATTTTTTAAAAATCTGGATGCAACTTCTTGATCATGCGTCACTTAAAGAAAATAATTCTAGACCCCTTGGATACAGGCCCAATAGAAAAACAAATGACAGTGTAATCTTATTGTATAAGTATAATTCAGCAAATTTATATTTTTCTAAAAGTAAGATGTGTCAATATCACAATATGCATTTATTGAAAATGTCCAATTTAAGGGGTATGTCCTACTTAAGAGATCAGATTTGGGGCAAGTTACCCTAGATATTCTATAAACTTATACATCACCTGTCTTGAATTCTTCAACTGACATACTTTATTCAAATTCTACATTACCAGTATTCCATGTCCATGTTTGCTTACAAAGACCTGACTACTTTCTGTTTTAATAATAACTATGTCGATGAAATTTCTGACTACAAATTTTTTAAGCTTTGTATAATTACAACAGAACCAAATGATCCAGAAAAGTCCTTGCAGAAATTAAAAGAGCATTTTCAGATTCTTTTAATCTTGGACACAAGATCTGTATTTAAATCGCATTGTACAGAAATTATCCATTGAAATTACCTTTTTGGTAAATAAATTGGTAAAACTGTTTTGATATATGAGATATGTCTCACATGAGTTACATGCAAACAATGCAAGAGTCAATGGACCATCACTGAAGGTGCAGGGCCAAATTATTATGGAAATAGATGTGCCAACGGTAGTGCAACTTACCTACCAAATATCATTAACCTACCATTTGTGGTGCCCCTTAAACTGACATAATAGCAAACTTTAACTATTGTTGACGTCGTTGATGCAGACATTGGAAATAACACATTATAGTCTCGCCTCTGTGACTTTGTTAAAGGCGAGACCATTTGGATGTTTGTACAGCCTGTATTCTTTGTACTTTAGTACCTTTACAAGTATTCAATGTTCACTACATAGTTCTTTTTTACTTACATCCAGTATCTTTCAACTGTTGTATTGCATTGGACATAATACGAACACATCCTAAAAATCCAGCACCAGGTTTCTTGTGGATCTTCTTATGGTTCCATACACTTATAGTTACAGAATCCTTTGATCCTATGTACCTGTAATTATGGAGAAGATTATTTTTCATTATTTCAGTTTCTTGTTCAAGAAGTTTGTGAATCTAAATATCTTTATTTAATCTCCTTTCATATTGAAGGGTTTTAATCCAAAATTTCCAAAAATGGATAACAAATCTACTCCTGAAATAGCACAAAAAGGATTCATCATGTAAAGAGGAATAAGAGATATAGAGAATAAATTCATGACACAAAATCCCTACATGCACTGTTATCAATCTCAAATTCATAGTTAGACCTTCAACATGGACAACCTCACTGCAAAGTCCAAGACAGCCCTTTAAACCTGTTTGTGTGGTCACGTCTGGTGATCTTTTGATTCTACTACTAGGGGTGTTTAAACGATTGTGACTACCCATGAGGGTCTCACATGGTCAGTGATCTTTTGAGTGATGTTCAAAACCCTACACTTGTGCATTAAAGCACACAAATACAGGGTAATATCAACATATTAGGGGTTCTAGCCGACAAAGATACACAGACTTTAAAAACAAAAAATGTACAGGACAATGTATGTACATGTACGTACAAAAATACATAATTTATCAAGAGTCACTTAAGCTTGATATGTAGTACATCATGTAACCAAAATGTTTCAAAATTGTACATAATATTCATCTATAATATACAGGTACGTTGTGTACAACAAAATTAAAACAAAGCAAAAGTCACTTAACATTAAATATTTAATATCCTATAACTGTTTTGTAGTTGAATATCACTGCAGATTTGTGTAAGCAAGGTATTACAATGACGGGATACACATTGAGAGTCAATTCTAGAGGATAAAAAATTACAGAATACATGTTTTGCACATTCTTGAATACCTTGTTAATGAACATGCCTACTGGGTACTTGTTTTTTTACAATTCACTTATACACGTTACTTGGGAAATATAATAACAAATGTGTCTGACCAAACTAAAATGCATTTTAGTTAAAAGATGAGTGTACTTGTTAATAATAAAATTTCTTTATTATAAAATCTACAATATAATACTGCTATAAAATCATCCTAAGGGAACATGTCACCCAAACTTGTAGAGATAAAAAAGCCAATTATTGTCATATAAACAAATCTATGTTATACTGATTAATAACTTTTCAATTAGTGTTATACATATAAGTTATCATACATGTAATTGTGTTTCTCTGAATATTGAATACTCAGGACAAACAACAGCCCTTTTTAAATCAAACTTCCAACTCTAAAATACAGTTGCCTCTAGTAAACTCAAAATCTTTGTCAGAAAGGCTCTCAATTTACCATACTAATTTAGGTGTAAATAAATGGGGAATGTGTCCATGGGACACAGATGATGCCCCCGCTTGCATATCATATAAAGTTATAAAGACACATAACTGAAAAACGGTAAAAGTGACACTACCCAAATTTGTACTTGATCTAAGTTTTGTGGTAATAAGTATTGTGTATAAGTTTCATTACATTTGGTTGAGGCAAACTTAAGTTAGAGAACGGAAACGAAAAATTCAGCCATTTTTCCGTTTTTAAAGGGGCATAACTCTAGAACAGTAAAAGTGACACCACCAAAATTCAAACTTGATCTGTGTTTTGAGGTCATAAGCATTGTGTATAAGTTTCATAACATTTGGTTGAGGCAAACTAAAATTAGAGAACGGAAACCAACTTTAGGATGTACGTACGGATGGACAAGGGTAAACTTAAAGCCCCCTCTACTACGGCGGGGGCATAAAAATGTAGAATTCTTGTTAACAATATAAGAGGGGCTCGCCTATTTTGTCATTTTTCCCACATCCACTTTTTTCCTTCCATTTCCCAGATTCCACTTTTTTACTCGCTTTCTCCCACATCTCATATTTTTCTTCCCTATTTACCAAATCCCCAAAGCGTGTCATCCCCATCATATAAATTCTCTAAGAAACTGACTAAACTGTAAATGCAAAACATAGCAAAACCAGCCATATGTACAGATGGCCAATGTAAAACTATACACTAAAGACATACATGTATCACTGATTGCATAAGAATATAAAACTGCAATTCAAACATGTAATTAGACAATCAAGTCATTATCACAACAACATGAAAAAATAAAATTATCTTTCTTAGCATGAAATTTCAACTGTGTAAAATAGAATTATAAATTATTTTGCCTTCACTGTCAAGTAAAACTTTCAAATAGCAAAACTTGGAATCAGGTTTAGTAATTAAAATAGCAACCTTGTATTCTTACCAATTACAAAATACAAATAGGACAATAAATCATAAAACATGTATCTATAGGCTGTTGGAAGTTAAATTTTAAGATGAACAGGAAGTAGATAATTCATTATACTTATATCATATATGTATATATATATTGTTTATTGGACAAAGAAAAACAACTCTGTTTTACCTTTCTTCCATTGTACATCTAATTAAAAATCATATAGCTCAGATAAAATCTTTTTTTCCCCGAACTCATGTCAGTGCCCTGTTTTATAAAGAAAAATATTCCTCTTCTTGGCTATCTTATTTATTTGTAAAATTCATATATTAAGGGTTTAAAGTAACAATTTGATCAAAATACAGATCTTGTGTTCAAGCTTCACTTACAAGGCTCCATTCTACTTTCTGTTTTAAGAACTTTCGGGATCCTCTGGTTTTGTCAGATTAATACACGTCTTGAAGGTTGAAATTTCATTAACTGATGAAATTATTACCTGAGCAGAAAGTAAAAATGAGTGCGTCAAATCCTGGTAAGCAAAGCTTAGTCACAGGATCTGCATTTTAATCAGATTGTTATAGTAAGCACTTGAAACCAGTTTCAATTTTCCTACAATGTCCTTAAGATTTTGTGCACTACCACACAACAATGTGTATTGCATTCACAAATGTTTTTCTTGTTAATTAGCAACATTTTTTCTTACCCTAAACAATTTGAGAAAAAAAAACAATAACAATTCACATGTAGGTCATTTCCTAAATATCTCAGTCCCTGCCCGTGATTGACTTTCTCATTCACCAGGGCCTTAACTTTTTAATTGATAAAGTGTCACAAATCCAGATAAACAAGAGTGCACACGCTGAAATGTCTCGCCTTCTTTACTAACCATTGATTTTATGTTGATAGTCCTAAACACAAAGCTTTACTACAAGTAACACATAAACTTAACATGATCAAAGAAAATGAGGTCAAGGTCAGATAAACCAAACGAGAAATACATGTACACCTTACAATCATTCAATAAACCAAACATAGTTGACCTATTGCTTATTGTTTCTAAGAAACAGTCTTAAACAAGAAAACTTAACATTGACCAATGAACCATGAAAATGAGGTCAAGGTCAAATGAACCATGCCAGACAGACATGTACACCTTACAATCAATTTAGGCATTAAATATAGTTGACTTATTGCTTATAGTATCTAAGAAACAAACTTAACCATGAAAACTTAACATTGACCAATGAACCATGAAAATGAGGTCAAGGTCAGATGATACCTGCCAGACAGACATATACACCTTACAATCCTTCCATACATCAAATATAGTTGATCTATTGCTTATAGTTGAAGAAAAACAGACAAAAACACAAAAACTTAACACTGAGAAATGAACCGTGAAAATGAGGTCAAGGTCAAATAAAACCTGTGAGACTGACATTTACATCATAAAATATTTCCATACACCATTTATAGTTGACCTATTGCATATAGTATTAGAAAATAAATGTGGATAGTGTCCACATGTGGACACAGATGATGCCCCCGCTTGCATATCATATAGTTATAAAGGGACATAACTGAAGAACGGTAATAGTGATGCTACCCAAAAATTTTGTGGTAATAAGCATTGTGTGTAAGTCTCATAACATTTGGTTGGGGCTAACTTAAGTAGAGAACAGAAACTAAAAATTCAGCAATTTTTCTATTTGTAAACACGCATAACTCTAGAACAGTTGTGTATAAGTTTTATAACATTTGGTTGAGACAAACTAAAGTTAGAGAACAGAAACGAAAAATTCAGCAATTTTTATGTTTATAAAGGGACATAACTCAAGAATGGTAAAAGTGTCGCCACCAAATTTCATACTTAATCTGTATTATGTAGTAATAAGCATTGTGTATAAGTATTATAACATTTGGTTGAGGCAAACTAAAGTTAAATAAAAGGGGAGATTAGGACTCAGATCAGGAGGTTTTTAATCAACATTAATTTTGTTGTAAATGTAACCGTGTGCTGTAAAAATGGTCTTTTAAAGTGTGTTTTCTTCAACTTTCCATCCAATTTATTATGTTTATAGTACCCTTGTACTTATAAAGTTTCTCCATCTTTATATTCTACATTTTCAATCTAACATTGTTTTTTTACTTCATATTCTATAAAACAATCATTGCAACCAGAACATTTGTTTAACTATTTGCAAAAAGTTTTTATTTTATTTTTTTTTTCTCTTGCAAATAGTTTTTATTTTTTTTATTTTTTTCTCCATAGTTTTTATTTGCAAACTCAGAAAATCATTCTATCTGTAAAATAAGGGTCATAGTTATTATATAAATTTCAATTTAAGCCTTGAAAGGAAGTATAGAATCCTCAAATAATTTTCAAATTATTATTTTTTTATTTGTCCTAAGACATTTAAAATCATTCAATTACCATCTTTTTATGATTATTTGTTCAATTTATATTTTATTTATATTCTTTTAAAAATTTTCATTATTAAAAGGAAAGTAACTTAAAACCAGTTTTTGTTACACAACGGCTGTTAGCCTGAGGTAAAAATCGTTGATTACCAGTATGTTTGACACCCAAGCTGACAAGTGAAGCCATATAATTATGCATGTTAATTGATTTACAGGTAAAATATAACTTCAGGTAATGTCAGTTACACCAGATGCCTGAGATGATATGTTGGGCAGAAATTTTTCATTCATGAAAAATTTCATACACGGGATTTTTTCCTCTTCAACGGGATTTTTTCCTCTTCAACGGGAGGTCAGGAGGAGACCCCTAAA